GATACAGTGGTTTAAGATTGATCTCCCTTAACAGCTCAATGCATATGCCTCCAGACTGATTCTCCATGGGTAGGCTAACTTACCTATCTTGAAATACAATCACATGTTATATGTAGTGGGCATCTTTAAGATCATTAAATAGATGTACTATCACCTGTATCCCATTATGGGGTGGAGCACAGTCTCTCACTGATGGGATGTGGTGTGGAAATGGTCACTGGTGACCTCACAGACATGTGCACGTGCACACAGACACACACAGAGCAAGGTGGTGCTATCACAAGCTCAAGGTTATTGATGTTTTTTTGTGTCTGCAAGTCAACAATAGCTATTGAGCACCTTGGTACTAGTACTTGGTACTAAGAATGGTAAGGTGAGGTCCCTACCCTCAGGCTGGCAGTCTGGTGAGAGAGCCTGATGGGCTTGTACACAAGATGGATGGTGAGAAGAGTTTTAGTGGAAAAAGTACGGTGAGTCCCACCTGCCTGGGAAAAATGATACTCAACTTCAGGGGGTACTTGCCCAGCTCTCCTGGGCCCCTGATTGCTCTGAGGCTGCCATCATAGACCCCTGTAAAAGAAATGCAAGGTGTAAATGGAGGTTGTTATTGGCATGGGGACTCTGAGTCTCCTCCAAGCAAGCTGGATTATGGATTTTGTCTTCTCCAGGGGTTGAGCTGTAGCTGTCAGCAGGCCTTATTCCCCCAACTACTCAAGGGGCATTGGGATTGGCACAGACAAAGCACTATGGCCACAGGTAATGCCCAAAAGAGTCATCTGGGAGCAGGATATGTGGGTAGGGACGAGGGCAGCAAAGAGTGGTTTGACAAGAATTTAATCGTGGTCTTCTACCATCAGAATTCAGTGAAGCTAAGCCACAGCAGGGCGGAAGCTGGGGGAGGACACCAGGTTACCATTCAAAGTATCTCAAGAGAAGCAGAATTTAGGAAAAAGAAACAAAAAGGACCATATGTTTCCAGAAAATTGTTTTATACCCAAGAATTTAAGGCCCTCTGAGTTTAAATGGCTCCGGAATGGCAAGCCTGGCCAAGGTTCCCAGAACTTGTACAACCTCCCCCCTCTTCCTTCCTCTTCGCCCTGTCTTCCCCTCCCCACCCACACCCAGATCCTCAGCGCCACCAGCCTTCTTCCATCATACCCAGCTCTTTGCCACCCTAAGCCAGTTACACTGGCTGTCTGCACTTCCTAGAACGTTCTCCTATGGGAGATTCCTATGGGAACTCTGAGTCTTCTCTGGAGCAAACTGGATTATGGATTTTGTCTGCTGACTCCTCACCACTCAGGCCTCCCTAAAACATCATCTCAGTGTCCACATTCTAAACTGCCCTTTCCTATCACCTCATCCAGTCTTACTTTGACCATAGCACTCATCATAGCTGAATATTTCCTTGTCTCCTCATTTTTTTTAAAGATTTATTTATTTATACAAGAACTGGGGTACAGGTCAGAGGCGCAGGAGGGTGAGAGGATTCACCAGAGACAGAGTAGGGAGCAGAACAGGCAGACGACCGAAAACACTGCTGAGGGGAGCAGTGGGTGAGGCAGGAGAGGTCTGCCGTGCCATGTGGGTTACCCCCGGGCCGGCCGGGAATCGAACCCATGCTGCAGAGGCTGCAGACAGCTTCACAACGTGGTGCTCAATCCGCTGCGTCCCGGGAGAGGCTCTGTCTCCTCATTTTTTGACTTACCCAGACACTCAGGGATATGTCTCCATCACACTGACTCCACGGCACTTGCCAGGCTCTCCAGAACAGTGCCAGGAGGTTCTCAGTAAAGAGCAGCTATGAGAAAAAGGTAGGCAAAAGAGGACAAAGTTGCACTTTAATGCCTCTATTCAAGCTCAATGTATGCCTTAATGCCTCTCTCAGTGCCTTCCAATCAGCCAACCCTTAGTGAGAAAACAAAGTTGGGACGAGGGTCAAGTTTAGCTGACACTCTTACTAGGAGACAAAAGATAATGATAAAAGCTAGAAAACATCTCCGCTTCTCAAGTGAATGCTGACTGTAAGACTACCCCCATTATCTGCTGCAGGTGGGCCATCGGCACCTGCCCATTTCTTTATGTTTACACTCACACATTCACTCCCTGGACCAAATTTAATGGAATACGGTGCTTCATGCTGGGGCCCTGCCCTCAGGCACAGAAGACCGAGGTCTTTGCAGAAAAGGCCGAGGTACTGAGCATCGACTATCTGCTTTCACCGATGTCATCTCATCTATGTCATCTCCCAGCCGCGCTGCTATTGTCCACATTTGACAAACACAGAAACCAGGGGCTCTCAGCGGCTGAGTCCCAAGCGGGGACGGGCATGGGTCAGCTTCCCCGCCCCATCGCTCTCTCCTGTGTGCTTGGCTCCCTGCAGTCCACATGAAGTTCAGGCTACGGAGTAAACAATATGTTGGGTGTTTTCAACCCACGGTGGGGGACCGAGAGCTGCCCCTGCGCGGAGTGGCTGCCATGCAACCCTGAACTGGGCCAGGCCTGCGACGGGAAGTGGCCTCCCAAGAGTGCCAGAACACTCTCTGCCCAGGAACCTCCACGAGAAACAAGGGAAATGCCTGGGCCTGAGCCGCCTTGCTCAGAACAAAGCTTGGCATGTTTCTCAGTCCTCAACAATCCGACAAAATAGGTATTTACTTGCGCCTTTCAAGCATATGGCTCGGACACGGTGTTCTGCTTCGTGGAAGTGGCCCTGTACCCAGTAAAATATCCGTTACTATAGTAACAGTTCCTTTTTATTGACACCAGAATAAACAGGAATGCGAAGCTGCCCCACTCTTGGCACGTTTCAGTCGCCTGCAATCCCCAGGAGTTTAAGAACCGCCCTTTGGAGGCGGCCCTCCTCGCTAGCCTGGGACTTCCCGGTGGAGCGAGGACCCGGCAGCGCTGCTCCTGCGCTCCCTTCCCCAGGACCCAGCCAGAAGTAAGGCCACTTCTCTTCTATTTCCCCCCTGCTGACAACCGGGGTGCTGTGCTGGGAGGAGGTGCGAGGAAGGGGGGCAGCCTGGGAGCCCTGAGGTGGGTCAGGGGAGCGGAGTGTCCAGGCTGTGGCCCCGTCTATGAAAGGATTTGGGGATGCGGACTGGCACCCTGCCTGGGTTTGGGGAAAGGATACAAGACAAAGTGCAGGGGGCAATGCACTGCGTTCTTGGTGACCTCTATCTTCTAAATCCGCAGATGAGTCTGAATTTATGCGTGCTATGTCCTCACCTAAGCCCATTATCTCACAGCATGGGGATTGTGATTGTCTTAATAGCGGGGATACAAACAGCCAGAGCGCTGCAGGGCGGCACAGATGAGAGAACACGGGTTTTGATGTCAGACAGAGCGTGGCTCGGGTTCTGGCTTCTTCATTCACTGGCCTGGGGAGATCAGATGACCCCTTAGAACCTCAGCTTCTTCACCTGTTAAAAGGGGTAACATCAGTACCCACCTCCTCCGTCTGTTGTGAGAGTTTCATGACATATGGCTGTGCAGGGCTTAGCTCAGTGCGTGCCCCATAGCGAGGGCACGTTAATATGTGAGCTGTTCACCTCTCTGGTGAATTTGGTTTTTACACCTTGCAATACGAGGCAAGTCTGGGGTTGGGCCAGGAACCAGGGGTTAGAGAATTGGGTGTGTCACTCGTTGGAACTCTTACCAAAGCCCCATGTTTTCCTGGCTGTGAAGCAGCCCCGGACCCGTGTCTCCTGTAGCTGGCATCCTGAGTAGCTCTTAGCTCTGGTGGGGTAAGTACCTGCCATGGGCTTTTCCCTGAAGGCATCTGCCCAGTGGGATGCCTGGCATTCTGCCACCAGGGGGACAGCAGAAATATCTGGTCTGCCGACCCTTGTTCGTTGATCGACTACACAGTGTTCTCCACCAACCTCACTAAGGACCCTTCATGTGCAGCCCTGGACTCTGCTATACAATTGATTCAAAACCCTAAATGCCCACTCACAAGTAGTAAGTCACAGTGGACCCAGGGCAAGATGTTCAGGAAGTTTGTCTTGAGACATTTTATCCTGGGGGTGGGGAGGTTGCATCCAAATGAACAAGAAGCTCAGACAGGGTCTTCCAGGCATCAGCCACGGGCTGCTGGGAGATCTGGAGTGGCTCCCAAATAGACTGTTCCTTGGTTGCTAGCCAGGGAAATACAAATGGGCACTTTCTCCATCGAGAGGAAAAAGCAGGAAGGGTCGGGAAATCCAGTGGTCACGCTTGTCACTTTAACTCAAAGCCTCTTTCTCCTTTGCCAGTGGGTATTTAAAAGTCCCTCTTCCTCTGTCCGCCCGCCCCCTTGAAATGTTGACCCAAGAAGGTCTCGGGTATATTCAGAACCCAGCAGTTTGAACAGTAATGGGGAACAAGGGCAAGGGGAGGAAGGCAGAGGGGCGAAGGCTCTGACCAACACCCTGGGGAGGGAAGGCCACCAGCTGGTCTCCTCCTAAACAAAGGCCAGCCCATGGGCAGACAGGCCTGTGGGTTCTGGCTTCAGTTCAAAGTTGCTGGGTCCAGCTGGGGCTCCCCAGTGAGGGTTTGTCTTTCATGTGGGCTAGGAGTCCTGCAGTTAGTTACCAGCCTCTCTTTTCTCATCTATAAAATGGGCTCACACTGACTCTTCACTGGGGCTTCTTGAGCATCCAGAAAGAGAAAGGGAGTGTAAATCTTCTTTGCTGACTGAAAGACACTCTGCACCTCGAGGACAGTGGAGTGGTAGAAAGAGCACTATCTTGGGACAAGGAGTTTGGTCTCTATGAGCCTCAGTTTTCTCATCTCCAAAATAGGAATAATAAAATGGTACCATTAGCTGCCTCCAGAGACAACTGTGAGAACCAGTTTGGGGTGAGTGTGGCTTCAGCAAATGTCAAGTGCTCCCATGGGTCCTCTGAGGACAGCAGAACCACAGTTTGCCTTCACTGAACATCATTCTGCCGGACATTGGACGAACCACATCCTATCATTTCATCCTCCAAACAGCCACATGACTAGGTATTGCCATTATCCCCACTGTACAAGAATTCAGAAAGGATAAGCTATTTGCTCAAGATCACACATCTAGGAAGGGGTGCTGCCATGATTCAAACCTAATTGTTCTCTGAACAACTGCTTTAACCCTGACTCAGGTGTCTTTTGTTATAATTGATGCCATCAAAGAATCCGAGCCACCAGAGCAGGGGAGAGAACAGATGAAGGGGACATTAAGGCTTAGACAGCCTGGGCTCTCACGACTGTTCTCCATATGAACTGGGACCTGGTCTCCATCAGGGCCCCTACCCTGCCTCTCATCACATTGCTCTTCTGCCACCAGGAGGCACCAGTGCTTAGTTTCAAAGCTGCACCCTTAACTTTAGCCACAAATATCCTGTGGGGCTAGTGAGCTCCTCCTGGGAGAAGGGGTTCCTGCTCTGTCTTGCCTAGAGTGGAGCTGACGTCCTGCAGTCTCTAGGGCAATGTGGTACATTTAGGTCATCTGCAGAACTGAGGACGAACCAAGTGAAAAACTCCCAATCTCTCCTCCAATCTCTTGTTACCCGGGGCCATGAAAGATGAGGTCAGTCCTGCAGTCTGCATATTAAGTGAGATCACTTGCCCATCTTGGAGTCATGCACACCTCTGAATTTAGCTGCCACCTACTGGCCACTTCTATTCCATGCCAAGCACTTTAGCTCTTTCAGTCTTCACAGTATCATGATTTTACAGTGAAGGAGGGCCCCAGAGGTTAAAGACCCAGCCAGAGGTACAGAGCTGCTCAGAACTGTGACTTTAATCATACCTGCTCAGAATAACTAATAACTGGGCTATCCAGTCAGGTGAAATCACATAGGCCAAAGCAAAGAAGCTAATTTTTTTTTTTCTCCATGGTTTGCAAAGTTGGCAGACTCCTGGGATTACCTGGGGACCTTTTTAAAAGCCCAAAGCCAAAGCAACCTCCCAGGCCAATTAAATCAGGGTCTCCGGGGTAGAACTCAGGCATTAACTGGTTTTTTTACAATTTCCTCTAGAGATATCAGTTTGCAGCCAGGGTTCAGATCCGCTGATTTAACCAGAGCAGTTTTTAGGGGGTAGGGGCAAGAAAATTCAGTCCAAGACCAGGAATGGGATTTAGGCATAGTGATTGTTAACAACTGCTAAGGGAACAGTCCCACTTGTAGTTTCATCTACAGGTGTGAGACTCTGGAGGTGTGTGGTTCAAAACCTGCCTTGCTAGGTGCACCGCCCTGGTCCCAGGATTAACAGAGTACTCTGTTCTGTGCCAGACACTTGCCAAGCACCCTGCAAGGATCACCACATTTATTTTGCAACAACCTCATGAAGGAGGGTGCTGAGCAACAGTAGCCAGGGCACCTACTCAACTCGCTGTTGTAGTGGAAGGCAGCCACAGACGTAAGTAATGAGTGGCATAGCTGTGTTGCAAGGGCTTTGATATGGTGCAAAGGCTGTAGGGTAGGTAAACTTGCCCAAGACTAAGGAGGGGCAGAACCAAGATTCAAATCCAAGTCTAAAGAGCTCCAACATCTGTACACTTCTGCTTCATTCTGCATTTCTTTGACAACTAGTGGAGGATCCTCACTGGCCACTTGACTTTATCCTGGGTTGGACTGCCAGCTCTTCCTGTGGGTGTTCATCTTTTTCTTTTCAGACATCTCTGTCTGAACTCACCTGTCCAAACTCACCTCACCTCTTTGCCCCAATGGGCACTTCCCTGAGAGTCTCAGACTTCTTGGGACACCCCCAGCAGCCTCAGAGAACTGGACAGAGCAACCTCAGCAAAGGACCCCACTTCTGCTCGTGAGACCCAGCTAACCTCCAGGAGAGCCTGCATTTTCTCAGCTTAATACCTGTGCTTTGTTGCGCTGTCTCTTATGTTCCAGCAGCTGTGTGAGTCTCTTCTACTTGGAATCCTTTCAATTAAACTAAAAGGCTGGAAATCTGGCTCAGCAGTTCTCTAAGCCCTGGGGCTCCCCAAAATATGCGCCTACTGCCCTCACATGTGCTGTCTGCTGGAGTTCAGCACACTGACTGGCAAAGGCAAGTTTTCCCAGCCTGCAGGTCTGCACTGAAGAACCAGTTCTCCTCCCTGAACCACCACACCACTGCCCTCCTTCCTCAGCTCACTGTAGACTTAAATTTTTTTAAAAGCTAAGAAAAAGGTCTGGAGCAGATATTTGAGCCGGTGCTGATCACCGATTGACCTGGAGGGCAGAACTGGCTCCCAAAATTGCAAGGTCCCTCTTCTAAACACAGAGCTGTGGGACTGGATCCACAGTCAAAGCAGCCATCGGCTGGCTGGTGACCTATGGGGTGAAGGTTCTCAGCTGGCCGATCAGATGTTTTTCCTCTGGAATTTAATGGGATACAGAGTCAGACACTGTCCACTGGAAGTGGAAGAAACCAAAGTGAAATAAAAAATTTCCAAAATCTGCTGACAGATTTTTTTGCCCACATAGCAGTGAGAATGACCTTTTAAAAATGAGATCAGACACAATCTTTCCCAACTTGAGCCTTCCACCCTCCACTCTCACTCATAACACCCCATCACTCGCTCACGCCACACCAGCAGACTATGCCTTTTTGTTCCCTGAACAGATCAAGCTGTTCAAGGTACATGAGTCACATATGCTGTTCCCTCTGCTCAACCATCAGATCTTAAATGTTGCCTCCTCCCAGAGGCCTTCCCTGTAACCAGCCTACGGGGGATCCTCCTGTTAATCTCTATCACAGTCCACCTGGTTCCTCAGTGCACTTCAATTTTTTAATTTTTATTGTTTTCTGTACCTGTTTATTGTCTGCCTCCCTAATAGAATGTCAGCACATCAGAGCTGAACCCTGCTTGCTTTCTTACTTCACTTTTATGTGACCAGCATCTATTCATAGTTCTTGGGAATTCAGGAACATACTGTGTAACATGATTTTATCATCATGTATTTTGCCAATGGTCATCCATGTTGCCCAGGAATTCTTGGTTTTGTGTAGTTACTTTGTATCTGGCCACATTATTGAATTATCTCATTATTTCCAAATGCTTTTCTGTTCATTCATTTGGAAATTCTGACTATGTAACAGCACCTTATGCATCTATTACTTCACCATGTCTTCTTCCTAAAGTTATACAATTTATTTCTATTCCTGACATCACTTTGGCAACATGGTTAGTTCTTTTAAAGACTTTATGGCTAAAGAAAGTTATGAAGCTCTGGAAGGTTTGTGGTACAAGGAAACTAAGGGCAGGATAAAGAATGACAAAGCTGCAATTACTAAAGCACGGACTAAAGCACGGTGTGATGGTGTGATAATAGCCTGGAGTGGATGGGGGCTGGGGAAATAGGAAGTATCGACAATTACTCAGATAAAGATCTGGCAATAGATAGCAGAAGGGGAGAAATTCCAAAAACTCTAATCTGAATGGGGGTCATGTAATCTGAATGGGGGTCATGTAACTGACTCTCAGACAACTTGATCCCACAAGCTAAAATCCAGAGTTTTGTAAGGAGAGGTAGTTGATAGAACCACTTTCATTTCGTCGTGCCCGTTTTTAAATAACACCAAATACTATCACCATCATTTATTTAGGGCAAGATCGTTAGGAAGGCAATAACCTGAAAACAGTTTTATTTTTAAAAGCTGAGGAGAAAGGAAATTAATTAGAATTCTTGTTTTAAACAGTTCTTAGAATGTGAATTCAAGAAAAAAGATGAAGCAGGTTAGCATAGATCTCTATGCTCTGACACAGTCTGACTGCATCCAAAATAGCCTGTAATAATTAACACTTTTTCTGGTTTACACAGCACTTTTACAAATGTGGTCTCACTTAATCCTCTTAGCAGCGCCCTGCGGTAGGCACTAACAGAAATGTCGAACATGTGTCTGGCATGACATCATATGCAAAGTCTAGTCTTCCCTTTGATGCCTGCAGGCCCTTGCAATTTATAGTCCATGAAGCCCTCTCCCCCTGTATTTTCCAACACCAGTATGTTGTTACCCACTTCCAGACTTTTGCACAGACCACCACCCCTGTCCAGTTTACCAAGAGAACTCTGACTCATCCATTAAGCCCTATTCATCCTCTTCTCAGTGGGCAGGAGAAGCAAGGGTGTGCGAGGTGCAGACAAGCCCCTCAGTTGCCACATGGAAACCAATTGCCTTAAGGCACGGGACCAACCTGAGTCTCAGCTTGCTCATTTCTACAACAAATGTTTCTACCAGCAAATATTTACTGAGCACCTACTGCCTATCAGACCAGAGACTGCCAGGACCTGATATATAAAGGTTCAGCCTCAGAAAAACAGCACTTACAAAGTGGGCAGAAGCAATGTCTAAATTTTCACTCTAATATGTAAGCTGCTAATGGTCAGTGTCCACCCCCACTTGAGATTTTTTTTCTTAAGTCTCTCCCTCTCCCCCTCTCAATCTCTCTCTCTGCCAAACCCTCCCCTACCCCCACCACATACCTGCACTTTGGGGCATTTCAAGACGTATGGGGCCAGCTCACAGAGGAGAGAATCCTCCCTGAATTTCCAGTAAACTGACAAATTTCAGCTGCTGTGGTCATCCGGAAGTGCTAAGGATATCCGCACTGAAGATGACAACCATCCTCTTGTAATAAGAAACATAACAGCCCCAGATTTCATCTTCTCTTCTTTTATCTGGAAAAAGTGAAAAGCTGGCCTCCTCAGGAGGAACCTGGAAGTGTAGATAGGGAATCTGGACCATAAGGGCTGCTATTTTCATTTTATCCAAGTCATCTTTAACAAGTACCCATGACTCTTTTTAAATCTTTTCTTTTTCTGATACAAATTCATTGAAAAACAAACGCAAACATAATTCATTTTTTAGAGGGGTAGACTGTCTCCTCACAGTCAGGCCAATGCCAATGTCATTGTCAGATTTTGTGACCCAGCAGCACTTACCTCTTTGCTTGCCTCACAAGCATCTTCCCCAGTCCTCACAACCGTACTGCACACAGGCTCAGTCATTTCCGTATCACAGTGAAGAAAGCAAGGCTCAGAAAGTCAGGCAGTTTGCTCAGGGCTGCACAACAGTAGGAGGCTGAGGGCCATCTAACTCCGCGCCTTTGCCCTTAAATGGTAGCCCACAGGGTTGGAGGGTAGGTAAGACCATGGACCCTGCTCTCATCAGCTCATGCACTGCCCATCTGTACAGCCTCCATGTACTCGGAGATCCAGAGGGAGCGGGCAGACATCGGGGGTCTGATGGCCCGGCCAGAGTACAGAGAGTGGAACCCGGAGCTCATTAAGCCCAAGAAACTGCTGAATCCCGTGAAGGCATCCCGGAGCCACCAGGAGCTGCACCGAGAGCTGCTCATGAACCACAGAAGGTGGGAATGGAGTTCGCGGACATGGTCTGGCAAGCGCCTCCTCGACCTGCTGGGAGCTGGGGTAGTGTTCTCTGTGGGAGCCCCGATGGCTGAGGAGGGCTGAAGGTTCTTTTTGCGGTCACCAGCAGTTGCCAGTGGGCCCCTAACCCCCAGATACACACATTACACCTGCCTTCCACATGCATTTAATGAACACCTACTATGTACTAGTCACTGTGCCCAGACGTAGGGGCAGCTACCCTCACAGGGGAAATAGGTGCATAGCCAGGTGGTATGATGGGTGCTCTGAGCATAAATGGGCCTGATACCCCAGAGGAAGCCCTTGGGAGGAATTCAAGATGCCCTTACATAGGAAGTGATGCTTCATCTCAGATCTGAAAGATGGACAGGAGTGAGCCAGGTGAAGAGGTGGGCACTCACTGGTAAAAGGAAAAATGTTCACAGCAGAGGAAGGGGCATATGCGATGAAGTTGAAACACAGTAGCTCAGGGTGGCTGAAGCATGTTGTGAGGTAGGGCAGAGGAGACTTGTGGACCAGGAAAGGGTCTCATGTAAGGATATTACAATCCTGGAAAGGGCGTGAGTGGGGCAGGGAGGCCTGAGATGCCATGAGAGAGACAGATGTAAGATGGCAGGGCTGGGATGCAGGAACTGCGTGATGCAGAGTAATAAGCAAGAGGGAAGCTGAGCCTCCCTACCTTCCCAGGCCTGGGAAATACCTCCCCGCTCACCAGGACCAGGATGATGGCCATATGCCTTCACGGCTTCCTCTGCTGGCTCGTTCTGGTATTGGCAGGGCTGAGACTCGTCCTTGTTTTCAGCTGTGTGCAAGGGACCTTCCACTTACTAGATCGCAAACATCTGAATGCCTTTTAGATTCATCCCTTTTAACATCAAAAATCACAATAAAAAAACAAAAGCCTAAAAGATAAATGAGGGGAAATATTTGCAATATAAATCATGGAAATAAATATATAAATCTATGAAGAAAAATGAACAAAAGTTATGTATAGTTAGCTCACGAAAGAAATGCAAATGGCTTGTAAACATCTCAAAATCTGTTCCATGTGGATAGTAATCATAGAAACAAACAAAAAAAAATGAAAAGCAATATAAAAATATCAGCTGGTGATGGTGAGGAGATATAGATGCTCTTACACATTGTTGACAGAGTGCAAACTAGATAACTTTTCTAAGGGCTATATGGAAATATGTATCCAAAATTTTTTTAAAGTCTGACTCAGTAATCCCATCTCCAGAAACTTATCCTGAGAAAATACCCAGAAATAATGTAAAACCTAGTATCTGCAGTCAGGCTGGCCTGGGTCCACATCCTTGCTCAGCCCCTTTGCAGCTATGACTTGGACTGATGTCTAAGACCTGCTGGAGCATGTTTCCTCCTCTGTGAAATGGGACAATAATGGTTCCGTGGCCCTGGGCTGCCAGAATTGCACCAGATAACGGGGTAGGTTGATGTTACCACAGGTCACCACCCTGAGACTGGGGTGGACGGACGGCAGAGGGAGTCTCCTGACAGCTCCCCCACCCTAGGGGCCTCGGTGTGGACAGCAAACCGGAGCTGCAGCGTGTCCTGGAGCACCGCAGGCGGAACCAACTCATCAAGAAAAAGAAGGAGGAGCTGGAGGCCAAGCGACTGCAGTGCCCCTTTGAGCAGGAGCTGCTGAGACGGCAGCAGAGGCTGAACCAGGTGGGTGGGGAGCACACAGCCCTGCCTGCATCTCCTCCCAGGCTGTCTCCAGCCCCCCGCAGGGAAGAGCTCTGCATGTGGCCACAGCTGGCAGGAGGGAGGAGGCTGAGGGGAATGAAGATGGGGCCAGGAGTCTACCATTGGCCTGAGTCTCCACTCTACCACTCATCTGGCTGTGTGACTTTGGGCCAGTGGCTTCCCCTCTCTGAACCTGTTTCTTCATCAATACAATTTATTACATGCCGATTCCCATTGCATTCACAACTGCCCTGCGAGCCAGGTGGCATGGCCACTTTACAAATGAGGAATCAGAGGCCCAGATGAGGTAAGCGATAGGAACTGGGCTTCACAGGGAGAACTTGGTCTCATGCTCTGTGCCCCCGCCCAGCTACCAGGTGGCCAAACTGATCCCTAGTTCTGCTTCCTCAGAGAGGACTCTTGGTCCAAATCCAGTGACTTTTGAGAATAGGAATTCTCTAATCACGCACACTTCACCCCTCTGCTTATATCTCCTTCAGCTGGAAAAGCCACCAGAAAAGGAAGAGGACCACGCCCCTGAATTTATTAAGGTCAGGGAAAACCTGCGGAGAATTGCCACGCTGACGAGTGAAGAGAGAGTGCTGTGAGCTGGCTGGCCCCTGCCCCCACCCTGGCCCTCACACCCCCCCCAGCCCTTCTGAATCTGGTGGCCCGGGCCCTGGGCCATCCGTGATGTGCATGCTAGCTGCTGTCCAACTGCACTGCCCCTGAGGGCCTGGCCCTCCTTGAGAATCTGGGGATCCTGAGTTCCAGCCTCCTCCTCCCAGCATTTACCTCTCCAGTTCCAAGATGAAGCCACTGCCTCAAAAACCTTCAGCAAGGCACCTGTCCCAAAAGGTCTTCCGAGCCCTGCCAAGATGCTTCTGGCGAAAGTGGGAGGTGGGAAGGGGCAGGTGCCTCTCTGGCCAGAAAAGCCTTCCACTCTGCCCCACCCTGCAAGCCCTGCTTCTCGGAGCAGCCTAGTTCCTGGGTCTCAGAGGACTTCCTGCCCCTACCCCAGGCGGGGGCCAGCTAACTGGAGAATCTTCGGACACTGCTTGAAAGCCAGTGGTTCAAGTGCAGCTGTGTGAGGCAAGGAAGGGCCGGGCAGCCCCCCGGCGGCTTGTGGCCTGTTGTGTCCGATGAAGGAGGGCTCCTTAGGATTTGCCAGCCTCCCCCTCACCCATGCTTTTATTTTCTCCCTCCGTTGCCCTCCCTGTCTGGGCCTTGTAACCACACCTAGTCAGGGCTGCAACCTTCCTGTTCCCAGAAGCCTAGACCAGTGTTTCTCAAACTTTACTGTGCCTACAAATCACTGGGACTCTTGTTAAAATAAGGCTTCTGATTCAGTAGATCTGGGACGAGCACTGAGATTCTGCATTTCTAACCATCTCCCAGGCTGTTTGTTTGAGGATCACACTGTAAAGAGCAAGGCTGGAGCATTCAGGGCTGTTAAATATTGGAAAACTCAACCCTGATGCCATCTCTGTCCCCTCCCTCCCCCCCCCCCCCCCCCCCCCCCAGGACCCTCTGTCCTGGGGCCTCCCACCCCGCCTCTATAGCCCCAAGTGCTCTTTGTCATCTGCTCCACCCCAGGGACTCCATACCTGGGTAGACTTTGCCTAGCAAATTGCATTGGTTATGTGACTCCTGTTTTCACCAGCAACATATGTAATTGCCAATCCGCATTTCTTACCCTGCTGCTATGATGCAATTTCAACCCCGCCCCCCAAATAATTTTTTAACCTTTCCTAAAACCTAGGGAGAGAAAATATACAATGATGTCCATTAGGCTTCTGGAAATATCAACGGTGGCTTGAAGATCCCACTGCCCCTCTGAGTCATTTCCACTCCCTGCTCCTGAGACCCACCCCTAATTGTTTTTATCAGCTGGGCCAGCTCCAGGGAATTCACTCACCCTCCCTCAAAGATCCCGTCTCTCAAGAGACCCAATGTTTTAACTTCATGTATCTGCACCATTTTTAAAGACTTAGAGGATAAATCAGATCTGTTTCTTTTCCCCTAAAGAATAAAATCCCTGCCTCTGGCTTTGCAAACTCATCATTTAAGGTGACAGGGTAATATTAGAAAAGCATTTCCTTTTATCTCCCAAAACTACAGTTTGGGATGCTATTTAATTCCTGGAACCAAAGGTGGAACTTACAGGAGGAAAGGGTTTATCTGGTCTTACTCCTAACTAACTGCAGGGTTTGGGGGTGGCTAAGCCTCCTGTGGGGTGTCAGTGCAGGGTGTAAATATAGATATGCTGCCTGTGTGTGTGTGTGCCTGTGTGTGTGTGTACAAGTCAAGTTTTAAGGCTCCTGAATGTGACTATTTTAGTGAGAATGTGGTAAGGCTGTTTTAATTGCCAGGAGAGTAATGCTCTCTAAAGACGCACAGTCCCTAAATAAAGGCGATCAGCTCCTCCAAGGAAGTCACTGGCAGGTCAGTGTGTTGTGAAGACATGTGAAGAGAAGCAAGACAGGGTGTCTAGGATGGAGTAGGACCCTCCAAGGAAGTGCTTGGGGTGTGTTTACTCTTTGGTCCCCAGAGGTGCTCCATGGAGGTAGAAAGTCATGGAGAAAAGCCTCAGAAACCGAAGGGACCTCAAGCACCCTGTCACCTGGGAGCCACGGTAAACAGTCCTGATCACTCACCCGTGGTGAGTCCCAATGCCTCTGTAGCCATCTCCAAGCACAGAGGTTGTAAATCCAGATTCTTATTGCTCCAGTCTCCTTTGTAGTTTGGGGTGACCAGGTATGGCCTGTGAGATTTAAGAGGAGGTCTATCAGGGCTTCTGGGAAAGCTTATGCTTATCTAATAAAAGAGATAGACATAGCTGACACCTCCCTGCCCCTCCCTTCTTTGACTGAAGATGTGACACCTGGAGCCACAGCAACCATCTTGCTACCATAAGAAAAAAAGCCAAGAAACTCAGAAACACTGACCCTATCATCATTCAACTAAGCCAATGCCAGCAGTCACCCGCCTCCAGAATTCTTGTAAATAAAAATAAAACCCTCTTTGTGTAAGCCATTGTTGGTTGGCTTTTATTATTTGCAGCCAAAAGCATTCCTAACTGATACAGAAGGTCAACTCTGCTGCTCAGAATTACCTGCAGACTGTACAAAAGTCCAAATTCCTCTTCCCCAGCAGAACCTACCAGGACAGGAAACCCAGCAGTGGTGCCAGGATCTGTCTTTCTACATGGCCTGCATGGCCAAGACGAGAACAGGATAGGCATCACTGACTCACAAGTATCTGATGAGTGCCTGCCCTGTTCCAGGAATCACGGCACGAGCGGGACACAGTGGGAGTGATACCTCCTTGCCCCTTCCTTCTTTGGTTGAAGATGCGATGCCTGGAGCTGGAGGATGAAGACAGTGGTCTCCTCCCAACCGGTCCCTCTGCTTCTGCCCCTGCCCTGCAACCTATTCTCAACAGGGTACCCGACATGATCTTGTCACTCCTCTGCACATGGCTCTGCTCTGGCTCCCGGTAGGGTGCTCCCTGAGACTTAGAAGGCATTTGTGCCCAGCTCCCTCTGACCTCTGCCACCGCTGTCCCCCTCACTCCTACAGCTCCAGCTAGCATGGCCCCCCGCACCCACCTGGCACAGCACCCCTTAGCGCCTGTGCACCTATACTCCACAGCCCGTGGTGTCCTTCCCTCAGAGAGCCACACAGCCCACTCTTTCTCTCTCTCATTCATTGGGTCTTCATTCCTACTCATTCTAAATGAGGCCTCCATTCAAAGGGATGACTAAGGATGACTAAAAGGCAGTCAGAGAAAGTACTCACAATAAAACAAAACATCTAAAATCTCAATATCTACAAACTTCCCACCTCTTCCTTCCCTGCCTTATTTTTTTCTCCTTACCATTATCAGCATCTAACATATTATATGTTTTACTTTTCTTCTGTGTCTCTCTGAACCACAATGTCCGCTCCACAAGGGCAGAGATTTTTGTCTGTTATTTACTGCTAAATCCCAAAGGTTCTTCCGCTTCCTCCTTCCCTGCCAGCAGGTGACCCAACCCATACCAATCTGGCAGAGTAGGCCCAAGGGACAAGATCCCAGACCCATCCCACTCACAGTTTTGAGAAAAGGACACAGGACACATAGTAGGTGCTCAACAGTGTTTGTTGAATGAATGAATGAGTGAGAAATCCTTTCTCCTCCTCATGATCCCATCATCATAAAAACCCCAAAGGCAGTAACCTGCCACCGCTCTGGCCCAGAGATGTCTGTTTGGTCCAGAAGCTTCCCTTTGGTCAGTAGGCCATCCCTTACTGACATTTGTGCCTGCACCACCTATGTTGGAGCTGAGTGACTCCTACACTCTGGGTATTCAGAGAATCAGCTCATCCCTGAAGGCAGAAAGTTGGGCCATTTATGCAGTCCCAGACACCCTGGAGAAGGGTGTAGTTCTGACATCAGACCCACCCTAAACAGCTTGTCAAGAGGCCACACTTTCTCACATCCACCAGACCACAAGTCCTGGGCCAGGTGTAGAGCACCATCCTCAATGGCAGACGGGCACTGAAGACAAGCTGAGAAGACTGAAAACCTCAGGAGGCAAAGGGCCTACAGGACCAGGGCACCCAAGCTCATACTTTCTGGTGTCAGTCCTAAAATACCAGTTCCTCTTATAAGGCTCGCATCAACCCCAGCTCAGCCAGTCAGTATCTGTCACGAGCCCAGACAACTTGCTGGACCCCATCTTCCACATCTGTGCCATGGGTTAATGATTGAAACTTACTGAATATTCAGTGTCTGTACCAGGGCCTGGGCTGAACACCTTGTGCATATCCTCTCATTTAATCCCCCAAGGCAGTCACTGTCTGCATTTTACAAGTGAAGAATCCAAAATGCAGGAACAAAGCCACTGCCCAAACGCATGTGGTCAGCAGGCGGGACAAGTGAGCTGTGGACGCACGTCTGTCTGACTGTGGAGCTGGCACATTCATCCTGGCAGCATTCGCCGGTGGAGGCTACAGGAGGGTGTTTTTTCAAAGCACCCACATTCATGCTTCCCCATCTGTCGCCAGGAACATTCTGCAGGCATACTGAGGTCAAAGGCTCCTCCTTCCTCATTCCCTGCCAGGCCCACGCCAATCTGGCAGCACAGGCCCCAGGGAGTCTCACCCAGAGTGGGTGAGGATCTCAGTTCCACTGCTTTGAGAAAACGCAGTGATCAAATAGGACACAGGGTCCACCAGCCTTCCCTTGGCACAGAAGTCCTGGGGAGGAGCAGGAAAGACAAAAACACACATTGAGCACCTACTGCCTAGCAGTGCCTAGAAAGTGAGCGAATAGACACAAAGCACCTAGGCTGGGACCTGGCTGACTTCAAGGGATGGAAGTCCCTTCTCCCTCTCTCTTTCCCCTTTAGGAATAGTGAGACAGGGCCTCCCCGGTGGTGCAGCGGTTGAGCGCTAGGTTGCGAAGCTGCCCGTAGCCTCCCCGGCGCCGGTTCGATCCCCGGCTGCTCCCCGGCCACCAGAGGAGGGTCCCACGTGGTGCGCAGACCTCTCCTGCCGCCTGCTGCTCCCCTCAGCAGTGTACTTCGGTCCCTCTGCCTGCTCTGCTCCCCGCTCTGGCTCTGGTGAATCCTCTCACCACGCCCCCCGCCCCAACACACACACCTCTGGCCTTTACCCCAGCTCTTGTATGCATAAATAAATAAATCTTTAAAAAAAAAAAAAAAGAAAGAATAGTAAGACAGGTGGCCCAGGCTACAAAGTCTGATGGACTTCAGATTGGGGAGGTGGGGGTGGGGCAGGGGATCCAGCCCTGCCATTGGCCAGATGGATGACCTTGAGTTTGTCATCTGTTAAAGGACAGTTCCAACACTACCAGCTTCATGGGTTGTTGAGAGAACAGAATTAACCAATATGAAATATTTGGGAATTGCCAGCACTCGATAAAAGTTAATTATTATTGTCTTCCCTTTCCTGGGTAGTTCCACTCCACCATTATCTGTCATTAACTCGACCCCTCCATGTATTATTTCCCCTCTTTCATTATCCTTTGGGCCTAATTTTTGCAGCATCCGTCCCTCCCCAGTGACTGGCTATCCCAAGACTTCATGCCCTTCTCCCAATCCTCATTTTTTTGGGGGTGGGGGGTACACCCTAGGACTTCTGTTAGAAAAGAAAGGAGGCCAAGATTATCAGATTGAAGGGGGCTTTATTGAAGTCCATGAGGGACGCCCCCCTACAGGCTGAGAGTCATGCCCAGAAATGGGGAGAGTGGGTCTTTATAGGTCAGGCTACTGCCAGAAGTGAACGTGGGTCTCTCCTGCCAGAGGGGTCTGCTGGAGTTATTTACCGCTGTCAGCTTATCTCTAGTTTAGCTATCTCTGGTGCCTTGGCATGGTTTTATGGTTTTGGTTTTACAGTGGGTTTAGGCAGGTGAGTGGGAATGGGCTGGTGAGTGCTTTCAGTTTCCTCATCCCCTTATCATCTACTCCTTTTTCTGCTATCATTTTTTAAAAGATTTATTTTATTTTTTTATGCATATAAGAGCTAGGGTGTAGGCCAGGGGTGGGTGGGGGAATGAGAGGATTCACCAGAGATAGAGTGGGAGCGGAACAGGCAGATGTACTGAAACACACTGCTGAGGGGAGCAGTGGGCCAGACAGGAGAGGTCTGCTGCGCCATGTGAGTCAGCTCCCTCGCCAGGCTCAGGCTCGAACACATGCTGCAGCAGCTGACAATAGCTTCATAGTGCTGCGTCTTAACCCCTTGCACCACCAAACAACTCCTGAGAATTTCTCCTCTGCTTTAGGCCACTAAAGACAAGAGCATGTGCGTGGCAGGATTACCATGGCTTCCTATAATCCGGCTCTCTTCTCCCTGGGCAGTTGGAAGACTGTTCCCCAGCTCCCCAGCCTATAGACAGTGTCCTGCAACTAGTTCTCATCAAGGAAATGGGAGCAGACCGTGATAAGGGTCACTCTGGGCTGAGTGAAAGACTCATGGGGATCCTGTCTCCTTCTGCCTCTCAGCAGCAAGTGCAGTTGCTTTAGTTAAGATAGAGGAGCCACAAAGTTGAGGCAGCCTGTCCCAATCAGAGGACAGATGTCCCTGACCGTCCCCATGTCCACAGTGACGTGTGATTAGCCATTCAGAAGTAAACTTGTGATTAGCTATTCAGATTGGGGGTGGCTCGTTTGGTAGCATAGTCCAGCCTGTGCCACCTAATACAGTGATACAAGCAAAAGCATCCCTACCTTGGCGTGCACAACTAGAAAAAAGGATAACATTCAACAATGTTTTAAACAAGTAAGTGAATTATATGGATATTAATTTAATTCAAAATACAAATTATTTAAAGAAAATTATTAAAACACTAGACACTATGGGGGAAAAGTGGGCAAATGTGTTCCTCTGGGTTGGGGAGATGAATTGATATTGTAAACTGTCTATTAATCTAGGGAGGTTTTAATCTTTATTAGATTTTAAGTCTCCACGAGATACCCATAGACTCTGACAGTGAAACTGTATTAGTCAAGGCTCTTGGTGGCAAACACAAGAAATATAACTCAAACTGTTGGTAGCAAAAGAAGTTTATATTCCAAAAGTATAAATCAAGCAACAGGGATGGCTGGATCCAGGGACTCATAGCATCAGCTGTCATTTTCGCCCTTCTCTCACTCTTACGTAAGCTCTCTCTAAGGTGGGGGTAAGATTAACTCCTAATAGCCCCTAGGCCATTTTCCAACTTAGTAGGTACAGCAGAATGAGTATATCCCAGTTAGGAACGATTTGGGAGTAAGGGGTCAGAGAAGAGAGTTTCTGGTTGGCTCAGCTTGCCTCATGTATTCATTCCAAACCAATCATTTTTGGCCAGCGAGATGAGACTATGATTGGCCACACTAGGGCCATATGCCCACCCCTATGTCCTCAGGGAGGCAGGAACAACAGCAGCACAAGCATGTATATCCCAGCAGAAAGGATTCTCTTACCAAAATAAGGGGAAGGATTGCAGAGAAAGCAAGAGCAATAAATGCCCAGTAGAGAAATTCACCTCCAAGAATAAGCAAGTAGGAATATTTATAGTTGAGTTCCTGGACCCAATTCCTCTGGGATTGTGGAGGCTTCCCCAGATCAATAAGCAATTGTCAGGCACCAGCAGGGTGTTGGGGAACTCAGTTCAATTCTAACACTCTCTACCCAGAGATAGCACCAGGTTCACAAGTTCAGGGTTCACCTGTCCCAACAGGTTCCTGGGACACCCTCTATTCCAGATGCCAGCACAGCCCCAGCCAAACCCCCGGCAGTTACCTGAGTTTGCAAAGACCAACCAGCTAAAGACTGGAGACTAGAACGTCCCCAGTTATCAGCACTTCATACACATTGTCACAAGGGAGAATTAAATGCTGTCCACACAATTCTACTGGCAGAGTATAACCAGAGGTTCATTTCTGGTCTCTCCTGGACTCTATCCGACACACTTTTTTTCCTTTGTTGATTTTAATCTATATCCTTTTGTAGCAATAAATCATAACCATGAGCATAACAACTTTTCTGAGTTCTGTGAGTCCTTCTAACAAATCATTAAGCCTGATGGTGATCTTGGTGACCCTCTGGCACACTCAAATAAATTCTGAAGATTGGTTAATCGTATTGTATTGGTGTTAATTTCTTGGTTTCAATGATTGCACTATAATCATGTAAGCTGTTAACACTGGCGGAAGCTGAGAGAAAGGCATTCAGAAACTCTTTGCAACTTTCTGAAAGTCTAGTCATTTTGAAATAAAAGGTTAAAAACAAAGAATAACAGGACATGGCGATGCCAATTGGTAAAGCTGGGTGTTAGGTGTGTGTTTGGTTCATATATTGTTCTCTCCACTTGGTATAAGTTTGAAATTTTTTCGTAATAAAAAAATTTTAAGCTAGAAAATTCATAGTTTGGTGCAATAAATTTGAACTAATCACATCCAATATGTGGCACAATCGACTACAAAGTTGATGAAGAAACAATTGGCACGCAGAATTTGTCAAGATGCAGAAACTTTGTTCAAGCCCTATTATTCACATTTTGATTACTCTTTCAGAAGCAAACTTCCACTAAAGCATGGTGACCTGAGAGAAGCAGCCTGGGGACGTTAGTAACAACCTTTTGCCCAGTTTCCAGGATGCAGCTTAGACCCTGGTATGAATTTGCCTCATGTTCAACCGTGTACCGCCATGAGGCAGAATGGACCTGAGGGGTCCCATGACTACTGACTCTTTACTCACCCCTTGATATGCAACTATACGACTCACTTCTTGGTATGTAGCCACGTCATATCTGACCATGTACAGCTGCCAAAGCAAGCCCACCTGGAACCTTGTAGAAACTGAAAGTGTATATAAGCCCCTGACTTCCTACAGACAGGGTTCAGCCTTGGGACACAAATCCGCTGAGTCAGCACTGGTGCATTAAACCTGTTTCTTGTTGGCCTTGGTGTTCATGTTTCCTTTGTCCCAGACAGATTGAATGCTGAATAATATTCCATTGTGTATATGTACCACATCTTCTTGATCCAGTCATCTATTGTAAATAGTGGTGCAATAAACATAAAGGTACAGGTGTTCTTTTAAATCAATGTTTTTGTGTCCAAGAGACAGTAACCAAAACAAAGAGACACCCCACTGATTGGGAAAAAATCTTTGCATTCCAGTCAACTGATAAGGGACTGATCACAAAGATCTACAAAGAACTCACAGAATTCAACAAAAACAAAGTAAACAATCCAGTCAAGAAATGGGCAGAAGAACTTAAAAGACATTTCTCCAAAGAGGAACTGCAAATGGCCAACAGGCATATGAAAAAATGTTCAACATCCCTTATACTCAGGGAAATGCAAATCAAAACCACACTAAGATACCACCTTACACCAATAAGAATGGCACATATCAAAAAAACTAGCAACAACAAATGTTGGTGAGGATGTGGTGAAAAAGGAACTCTCCTGCATTGCTGGTGGGAGTGCAAACTGGTCCAATCACTATGGAAAGCTGTCTGGAGGTTCCAGAGTCTACTAAAAATGGAGCTACCATATGACCCAGCAATTCTGTAATCTACTTACTGTGCAAATGCAAGCAAGTGACACCACCTCTCTGAGCTGCAAAATGCAGAGATGCATTGACTTTCCATTCATCGATTATGCAATGGGGGTGAGAAAACCTATGCACAGTTCACCCACTTAGTAAGACCTGGTTCCCTTCTAGGTCCTACCCTGCACAATGTTGCTTGCTCAGCAGGTGCTCCAAATGTATTCATCCAGGAAATGAGGGAGAGGAAACTGCAAACACTAATGCTAAGCATTATCAAGCCAATTTTAGAGCAGAAACAGTGGGAGGGGGGAAACATTCACCTTAATAGAGCAACCCTTTCACAGACGAGCCTTTTAAACTCTTGTGATTCTAACAGCTTGAGTTCTTAAAAGGCTCAGGATGGCAGGAGCCATCAGGAAAGATCAGCAAAGAGGGTAGGAAGACCAGGATCTCTTTGGAAACAGCTGGGTATACAGCTTTTTGGTACAAGGAGTCCCAAAGGAATACCTTGCTTTGAGATTGGAGGGATAGGTATCCCAGGGTTTGCAAGGAATATAAATAGGTGGACAGACACACACACACACACACACACACACACACATAATACACACACCCCTTTCAAAAAAGTGTCAAAGCTTCAGAGCACTTCCTTGAGTTTGCTCATGCCCTTGGAATAGAGAATTCTGGTTCCTGTCAATCTTCGTTATTTCATTCACCTGCATGCAGCTAGGACTGCATCCAGAGCAACACTGTTCTTGCTCTCACTGAGAATTTATATAGAAACCAAACCACTGGTTAAAGGAGAAAAAAAAAAGCCACTGCTATATTGGGAGTGGCGCCTTTTCTAACACTACTTGTGACATGAAATACGTGCTTTTCCGCACCAACAACCAATTTCCCATTTCTCTGACACCGAATGGGTGTTCAACTATCCAGTTGAATTCTGACCCTAATTCCTAGAGTCAGTGCAGACCCCAGAGGGTTAGGACTCAGCGCCACAAGATAGCTCCAACTTCAGACACCGATCACAAAGAGCAGGGATGCTCCCCCACTTCTGAACAATCAGTAATACACTCAGGGGTTGCTAAAACCCCTCCATGGGTTGGATAATTTGTTAAGATAGCTCACAGAATTCAGGAAATCACTTCACTAAAGCTCACAAGTTTATTACAAAGGATACAGCCGGAAGCGATACATAGGCCAGGTATAGGAGGTCGGGGGCAGTGCGGTGTTCCATGCCATCTCAGCCCACAGCAGCCTGCTCGTGTTTGCCAACTCAGAATTTCCCAAACCCTATATTTTGGGATTTTTATAAAGGTTTCATGATGTAGGCATAATTGGTGTTCAATTATGGTCACCGATGATTAATAGTCTCCAACGCCTCTTCTCTGGAGGTTGAAATTGGGGTAGGGGGAGCAGAAAGTCTCAATCCTAGATTAAGACTTTCTCTTCCTGGAGAGCAGCCCCTATTCCGAAGCTATGTGTGGGTCCCCAGTCACAGGAGAAAAGACGGTCTTATCACTCAGGAGAGCCCAAAGCTTCTTAGGAGCTCTGTGCCAGGAACTGGGAACAAAGATCAAATATACATTCCTTATTATGCCACAAGAAACAAAAGCTTGAAGTTAAGAAGGAGGCGCAGAAGCTTCTAATCCAGGCTGGAATGACTTCCCTAGAGAGTTAGACATTTACAGTGAGGTGAAAAGACAGAGGAGCTGAGCAGGGGAAGCAGGAGGAGTTTGGGGACAGAGGGAACAGGAAAGGAGCAAGAAGGTGTTAATTCAAAAAGTTATAAATTCACTACAAGTGGCTGTGAGTATCCCATCCCGATCCCCTGCCCATTCCTGCCGTGATTATCTGTCTCTCCAGCAGCCCCTCCCCGCCCAAACACAGCCTGGAAGTTTCCTACGGGCAATAGACTAATTCTGAGTTTGGTTTGTTTTCTCCCTGCTCTACCCCAGTGCTTAGATTGCTGTGGGTCCTGCGGTGTCTCGCCAGCAGGCTACCCCAGAATCTAAAATCCCACTATGAAACACCATCCTGGGAATTAAGAAATTCTTATGGGGAACCAAGAAAACAGTAATAATCTCCAGGTACACACACATCTCGGGATTTTACATGCTTGACAGTTTACCAAGAGTTTTCCTTCATACCTTGTGAGTTGCAGACGAGGGGGGGAGGCTTAAAAAGGTGAAGTCACTCAGAGTCACACCTCGAGATTTATACCCTGGTCTCTGGGTGGGGGTTGTGGTATTTCTTTTTGTATGTGAAAGCGACTGCCTCTTCCAGGGGGAGCCTCTGGGAGGCGAGGCGGGATGAGCAGGAAAAGAAGAGAAAAAACAACGCAGGCTGACAGCTGTCACACTGCACCGGCTGGCAGCCTTGTGCTGAGCTCTTTCCAGTCCACCCTTGGCAACTCTTCCAGGGCAGCCCCAGGGTTGGGCACGGCAAGGTCAAACTGACCCCTGAAGAAGAGGTGGGAGGCAGGAGGGAACACGCAAGGGAGCTTAGCAGGGACAGCTGAGAGCAAGAAGCCGTCTGGCAATGCTTTCAGTCTTCCGGGTTCCAGCCCCTCTGGGGGAGGAGAAAGGGGCTGGGCCATCCGCGTCCTCTACAGCCCAGGGCCTGCAGTCAGAGACCTAGGCCTGCAGCTAGCTGAGGCCAGCCAGGCCTACACAGCAGGCACAGGGCAGAGGTGAGTCAGGCAGATTGGGGGAGGCGGGGAATGGGCTGGGAGACCCTGAGCACCGGACCACCCAATGACCCTCCTGGACGCTCCTAAGGTCATGGAGCACTACTTCTTCCACTGAGCACCCTTATTTACTAAGGGCAGGCCCTGCACTAGGTGTTAGGGCTATAGTATGTATATGACAAAGATCCCTGCCCTCCTAGAGTTTTTACCTTTTAGTGGTGGGGTTGAGGGGACAGGAGTAAACAGAAACATACTTAGTGGGTAAATTATCTAGTATGTTAGGATAAATGAAAAGAGAAAAGCAGAGCAGATTGGGAATTGGGATTGCCAGGAGAGGAGGTTTGGATTTTAAAGAGGGTGATCGCCCCATTGAGAAGAGGGCATTGATCAAAGACATGAAGGGGGTAATAAGGTGCCCACAAGGTTGTCTGGCCAAGGGAGAGGGTTTTCTAAGCAGTGGACCAGAACTGGCAGAGGCTGGGGTGTGGGGTGAGAGGTGAGGCCTGCAGTGTTCAGCAGCAACTGGAATGGAGTGAGGCAGGAGAAGGAGAGGCGAGGGCCTTGCAGGTATCCAAAGGGCAGATGACAGGGACTCCTGGAATGCACCAAGCCCCTCACTAATACCGGGCAGCCCTGCCACCCACTTGTGGTATCTGTTTGGAAGCCTGCAGATAAATCCCTTTTGTGGCTGTGTGACCTTACAAAGTCTTTTTCCTTCCTGAGGTCCCTGCCCTCTCTCTAAAATGGTTATAATAACAGCGGAGTATTGAAGGGTCGTGGTGAAGAAGAGAGGGGGAATCAAAATAGTGACCATCTGCAAGAAAATTTACTGCACACTGCTTGTGAGCTAGGCTCTTGGGACCTAAGAAAAAGCGGTGCTGTTCACACCCCAGCACTCACTGCAGTAAGGGACATTCAAGTAAATAAGGAACTGGTCCTCACTGTCCACTCTAATAGCACTTGGCGGGGCAGTAAAGGGCACTGCTATCAGGAAGCCTTCTTAGTGGGGCCCCTGGAGACTGGCACTCACTGAGAACACCAGGGAAGGGGGAAGGGACTCGGGGTAGAAGGTCCTGGAAAGGAGGCCCAGGGTGAGGTAAGTAGGCTCAGTCCGGGTCAGGGAAGTAAGGCACAGGGCATGTTGGCTACCAGGGAGCATGGATCCCTTCCAGGAACTTTGGCCACCAAGCAGCAAATTCTAAGCTGAGGAAGGAAACAACATGTTTTGCAGTTTAAATGCTCACCCTGGTAGCCAGGAGAACAGACAAGGGACACTGACACCAAGAGAAAGGTGTGGGTGGTCTGGGTGGGGGCCGGGGATGGTAAGGGCAGATGGATCAGAGGGATTCTAGAAGAAGGAACCATACCTGGTGGTGGCCTCACTGTGGGAGAACAGGGGCTTCAAAGAGGCCGAGGGTTTGCTTTGAAGGAGGGAGGGTCCACCCTGGCTTTGGGGGATACAGGGGCTCCAGAGGGAAGACTTCACAGGCCAGAAGCACACCTCCTTCCTCAGCAGCACAGTAGCCCACAGGGCTCCCACAAATGGGTTGAAGGGGCCCAGGACTCGGGCCAGGTGAACGGGACCTCAGGTTTCCCCAGCAAGGCCCCATGGCAGAGCCACAGCACGAACAGCGCCTGTGCTTTGCGGTCAGACTCTGGTTTACACATGAACTGCCCATGCTAAACAATTACTGATACCAGGCCTAGATGGTGCCTGGCACACAGCCCGTGCTTCCAGGGGGGTGAGTGAGGGTGGAGAGGTGCTCATGTACTCAGGGGGGTGAATTTTCTCCACCAAGCAGCCCCTGGCTGACACCGTCTGCCACAAAGGCTTGTGGCATTTCCCAAGGTTCAGACCCTCAGAGAGCCAAGCCAGAAAACAACAGGCAGATCCAGGTCAGGATGGGCAGCCCAGTGCACCGAGTGTCATCTGGGGATACCTGGAGCAGGCAAGAGCACCCCGACATAAAGAGCGAGAGGTATGAGCGGTCCTTCAATGTGGAACGGCTCACCAACATCCTCGACGGAGGGGCCCAGCAGACTGCACTTCGGAGAAAAGTTGGTAAGAGGAGGCTGGAGAGTGGAGTGTCTGCCATGTGCCCACGGGCTTTTCTGGAAGTTCCACCTGTAGCTCACAAACTCAGCTCTCAAAATTCCACTGTTAGAGAGATTCGTTGCTTTGGATTGTGAAGGCATGTTTTTAACTCGTCGACATTCCCTGGGTCCATCTGAGGGACACAAGGGTTCTCAGCAGCAGAAGACCGGATGATGGTCCTTATTCTGCGCCTGCATAGTTTTGTCACTTGGGCAACTCACTGTCTCAGCTCTGGACTGTAATTGTCACATCTGTAAAATGACAGTAATGTCTGATTTATTTACTCACTTGCCTGTCCATGTGGCAAGTGAGTGGGAAGATCTAAAAGTGCCAGTAACCTCTCCTAAGCCTCTAAGTCCTCTGTTTTCTTTTTTTTTTTTTAAAGATTTATTTATTTTTATGCATACAAGAACTGGGACACAGGCCAGAGGTATGGGGAGTGAAAGCATTCACAAGAGACAGAGTGGGGGACAGAACAGGCAGACTGACTGAAATACACTGCTGAGGGGAGCAGCGGGAGAGACAGGAGAGGTCTGCTGCACCGTGCCGGTAGCTCCCTGGCTGGCCAGGAATTGAACTTGTGCTGCAGAGGTTGCAGGTAGCTTCATAGTCCTGTGCTTAACCCCTTGTACCACCAGGGAGGCCCTAAGTCCTCTGTTTTCTATCCCTGGCAGAGCGCATCATCCATGATGACCCACAGTTAAATCTGAAGGATAATTACTTCATGACGCAGAATGAACGTTACGAGGCCGCCATTCAGAAGAAAGTCCACATCCAGATGCTAGCTCAGCGCCTGGGCTGGCCAGATAATGGTCAGGAATTACGTTACGCTTACAGGTGCTCACTCCCAGGACAGCCCACGGGAGAGGAGTTCACCTGGGATCTCCCAAAAGTCCCCAGGCCCACGAGCTGTCTTCACCCAACAAAGGCGTTTGGGACCCCGGGCTGCCTGGGCCAATGTGTCCCACGGGCTGCTCAACCACAGCCACGGTGTCTCTCTCCCACAGAGCCCTTTCTGGAGACCTGGCCTTCACTTTACACAACGTCTTCCAGAATGCTCTCAAGAGCCTGGGCTCGGAGGAACAGATTGCCAAATGGGCCCCACTATGCAAGAAGTTCCAGATCATTACAACATATGCCCAGACAGAACTGGGACATGGTAAGTGAGGGCTGCTGCAGGAAATGTACACCGCTCCATTTCAGAGGGCCCACAGACATCTCTGTAGTCACGGGTTTGTCTATTTAATCTGAAAATATTCAGCAGGTAATAGTCAAGGGTATGGAGGAAGGGATGCCCTTTTCTAGTTTATATAAACAGATTGTGTGAGGACCAGGGAGGCAAGTTCAGCAACTGTCCCTTGTCAGAGGCTGGTCATGGGTCCCGCACAGAGAGCACAAGCGAACAGAGAGACATGCCTGTGAGAACAGCTGGCAGCGGTCCCCATTCCATACTGGGCTAGTGCCCAGAGTTCCAGGCCCACCTAGAAGCAACTCCCCAGGTCAGATTCCTTCCTGTTCCCAATGTCTAACTCCCCTCCCCTTATTTCCAAGGAACAAATCTTCAGGGTCTGGAGACTACAGCCACCTACGATGCAGCCACCCAGGAGTTTGTGGTGCACAGCCCCACGCTTACTGCCACCAAATGGTGGCCTGGGGACCGTAAGTATCCATCCATCCCCCAATGCCATCTGTCCCCCGAAAACTAAGCTACAAGGCAAAATAGCCTGGGCTTTGCTATCCAACAGACCTCAGATGCATTCCCTATTCTAGGTTTGTAACTTTGGGCAAATCAGTTCACCTCCCTGAGGCTCGGGTTTTTACTTTGCAAGGAGGTGAGAGGTGAAAAATTTCATCAGTGAGTGACTATCGGCCCGCAGAGGAACTTAGAACTGGAAATCAATCCAACCCTTGAGGAATGAGAGCCAAGGCCTCTCTGTCCCTGGCACGCCTCTCATCTCTGAGTTAATAACTAAGCTTGCCAGCAGTCAGAGCACAGGACCCTGTGATTTACACAGAATGTGAAAAGCATCCTCTGCAGCCCAACTCCAAGCAACGTAAAAATCTCAGGCTCACCACCACAGTAGTCACCCTGCACCTCCCCCTGTGACCACCAGGTGGCAGCCGCACAGTGCGCCCCGAGGCCCAGAGACCTGCCAAGTGCCAGGAGGGGATCCCACCCTCTTCCTTCAATTTGAAAACACATTTCTGAGGACACATGTGGCACTTGGGAAGCCATTTGGTGACGCTTATATGGGGGGAGAGGATCATAAAACAAAAAGAAATTCAACTACAGCAGTAAAAGAGAGACAGGTGAGAAATAAGCAGGGAGAGGGAGAGAGATGAGGAGCCGAGAGAATGATCACTGCCGTCAAAACTGCAGAGAAAAGAAGTCAGCCTTGGAAATCAGGCAGGGCTCAAATCCCAGCTCTGTACCCTCCAGGCCAGGGACCTTGAACATCACTGCCTTCTGTGAGCCTCAGTTTCCTTATCTGGAATACTAGACTCATCATACTTGCCTTGCAAAAATCAGAAAGTTCCATCACAGGGTCTGGCACCACCTAGATTTTGATAAATGGTAATTATCTGTATTCATTATTATTATTAGGTGGGTGGCAGAATGATTCACTAATAGGCTTTTGAGGATGAGGGTGGGAAGTTTGCTTATTTCACAATGCTTTTGGCAAGTCGCTGCTAGATTTGTTAGCTCTTTGGGGGCAGTTTGCCCTCTCTGCTATCGGTGACTTTTTAAAAGCCATCTGCCATTGGGCCAGCGATGCACACATCCCCCTGTGATTGGGGTTCCGTACTTTCCCCATGGCTCATGATACACACCCTGGCATCTCTGATATAAAGATCCTGTCTTCTTGATCCAAACAAAATGAATCAAGGGCATATGCTTCAGTCAGTAGACTACAGAACCAAATGTTAAAAGATGCCAACTTTCACAGATTTTTCCATTTGGCCTGTTTTCACTAAAGTCCATGGTAATCTTTTGCAAGATTACCCAGGGAACAAGAAGGGCTTTGGTCCCCTCAAGATTTCTATCAGCCTCCACAAGCTCCCCTACCCGTGAGATCCACCTGTGGAACTGTAGTGTGGTGGCCACACAAACATGGCATTAGGCAGAAGCTCTGCACCTCCAGCCACCAAATAAGCTGTCACAAATTCCTTCAACCCAGTACATTCTATTTTTTTACTGACTGATTTATGCATAGAAGAATTGGGGTGTAGGCCAGACGTGCAGAGGAATGAAAAGATTCATTAGAGACAGAGTGGGAAGCAGAACAGGTGAAAACTACTGAAATATACTATTAAGGGGAGCAGTGGGCAAGGCCTTTTGAATATTTGCTGTCATTTCCAAGGATGACAGGGAAGATCCTGTGAGTCAAGGGGTATCCTGAGTAATCCTCAGGCCTTTGTGACCCTGGATGTTACCTCCTCTATTGCCCAATCCCACCCAACTGATCCAATCCTCAAGCTTCTGAAGTATGCTATTTCCTCTGCCTTACACTCCCTTTCCTGGATGGGTCCCCAGGAAAGTGCCTCTTGGCCTGCAAGTTCCTTGTATATTACCCCCTAACCTACATTTTCTGCGGCAGCTCAAACAGACCCACCATACCAGCCTTGCACAGTGCCCTGCCCTTTCTCATGCCATGACATGGCTTTTCCTAGCCCATTAGACTGGGCCCACATCCGCGTTCCCAATGGGGAGGGCTAGCCTGCCTGCTCTGTACTCCGGGGTCTCATCAACAGGAGATCATGCTGAACTTCTCTCTGCCCACAGTGGGACGGTCAGCCACCCATGCCCTGGTCCTGGCGCAGCTGATCTGCTCAGGAGCCCAACAGGGCATGCATGCCTTTATTGTGCCCATCCGGAGCCTCCAGGACCACACCCCACTGCCAGGTAAACCCATGTTTCTCCCTTCACAACCCATGCCAGGACACCCCATCAAGCCTCCCTGTCCTGGGGCTTCCTCCCTCCTCCATGGGAGAAGTTATCATACAGTGATAACTGTCCATCTGACCTCAGTTTGGACATCCGCAAAACAGGTGTAGTAACCCTAATGTGCCAGGCTGCTGTGAGGCTTAGCTGGATGTGTGTGTGGCACTTGGCACTCAGCAAGCAAGGACCAACTGACAGACATCGCCATCCCCACCTTCCTAGGAATCACTGTTGGAGACATTGGGCCCAAGATGAACTTTGAGCACACGGACAACGGATTCCTGCAACTGGACCACGTGCGAGTCCCCAGAGAAAACATGCTGAGTCGCTTTGCACAGGTGGGAGACCGGGGACCAGCCTGTATTGCCCGCAGGCTGCTGCTGGCTCTGAGTGCCCCACCACCGACCCCAGAGAGGCTCTGACATCCCACAGTCCTGGGTAAAACCCAGCTAAGAGTTGACCTTGGGCAAGGTCACTTGGCCTCACTGAGCCTCAGAGTTCTCATGGGCAAGTGTTCGGCTCATGGATCACAGGGCAATCGCGGGGTAAGGTGGTAAGGCAATCTGAGAAGAAGGGTGGGCAGAGGCTGACTGGAGTATTTATTTACAGCAAGGTCTGGATACAACCAGTCATGAGCACACATCCACTGAGCACTGGAGGACATTCTGGAGGTCCCTGCTTGCCAGGCATGACCTTTGGTTGTGGACTGTGGGCAGGTCGAGGAGAGGGGTCCAGGAAAGGGCACTCGGCACAGTGGCTACTTAGCAACAAGCACACATTTCAGTATTTTAACAATTGGCATGTTTATAGTGGTGACAACCCATTGTGTCTGCTCTGGGGGAGCAGTTTGAGGACTATGGCGCCCACAGTTCTAGGCATGGGGCAGGCTGGGAAGCCTTGGCTCAGACCCAGTACCTACCGTTGGTCTACCAGGTCTTGCCAAATGGCACCTACATCAAGCTTGGAACAAAACAGAGCAACTACCTGTCCATGGTGGTGGTACGTGTGGAACTGCTGTTGGGCGAGATCATCCCCCTGCTCCAGAAGGCTTGCATCATCGCCATTCGCTACTCGGTCATACGCCGCCAATCCTACCTCCGGCCTGGGTAAGGGGTGCCCAGAGGCCCACCACTACAGACAGGGCTACCTCTCTACCCCACAGTACCCCACCTCTCCGTCCCGCAGTATCTGCCCACTCAGACCCACCCCCCCCCCACCTCCCCTGCACCAGAGCTGGGTGCTGAGAGCACACATCCTTCCCACATGCACACCTGCCCTGCCCTAGCCCGTATGGCCATTCTACCACAGTCTCTCTCTGACCCCAGCTGACCAGCCAATCCAACTTGTTCTGTCAGTGTCCGGCCCCACTGGGTGCTGTGTGACCATGTGTCTTTGGCCTTACACCACCAGATCTGACTCTGTCCAAGTCCAGCGGGGCCCTGTCTGGCTGTGACTGGCTGACTGTGCCTGGGTCAAGCTGCAGGTGGCTGTGGCTCCTGAGTTTGTTCTGGGTGTAAGCGATTGTGTCTGGCTAAGCCCACCTGTCACATCAGACTGTGATGTGGCTGAAGTTGATTCTGTCAGTCTGAGACTGTCAACATATGACAGTGGTATTGCCCAAGTCTCAATCCATTTTGTTGTGTGTGTCAGTATCTGACTCATAGTTCCTCCACTTAATGACACTGAATGGCAAGGGTTGACTATTCTTTTAACATGTGTACACATGTGTGTACATGTGCACACATGCATACTGTTTTTTTTTTTTAAGATTGATTGATTGATTTTGTATAAAAGAGCTGGGGTGTAGGCCAGAGGTATGGGATTCACCAGAGACAGATCAGAACAGGTGGATTTACTGAATCACCGTTAAGGGAAGCAGCGGGTAAGGCAGGAGAGGTCTGCTGTGCCATATGTGGGTTATCTCCCTGGCATGGGATGGAACTCAGGCCTCCTAGTGATAGGGTGATAGCACTGAGACTTAACTCCTATGCCGCCAGCGAGGCCCCCACATGCATTCTGTGTCAGATTCAGCAAATAAAGATACAGGACTGTCAATTAAAATTTAAATTTCAGGTAAACCACAAATCATTTCTTTGACTAAATGTGTCCCAGATGTACATAAACACCCAGGATGCAGCAAATTGGGGCCCAGGGAGGTGGCACCGCCCTGCAAGCATGAGAAGAGAGGGGAAAGCTGAACACAGCTGAATAAGCAGTTTTTGTCCCAACTCTGCTAAGTGACCCTGGGAAAGGCCTTTGTTCTCTCTGGACCTGTCTTCTCACTCATAAAGTGAAGCATAAGATCACCAGGACTGGAGCGTGAGCTCCCCCAGTCCAAGCACATGATGTTTCTTTTCATGGCCTCAAGGATCAGAGGAGTCTCATGCAAGAACAGAGGGTCGGATGCAGGAGCACTGGGTGCCACAACTCAGTTCAGACACTTGCTAGCTGTGGGCACTTAGTCTAGCTGCCTCTTTCTCCCTCGGCTTCTTCATCTACTAAATGAACATGCCATGAGCAGTCTTTCAGGGAAGTACTGAGTGTAAAATGAAATGGGTGGCAGGCTCTGAGCCCAGGTGCCTCTCTTCTAGTCAACCCAAGTACCCACGGTCAGCCTGGGAATCAGAATCCAAGCTGAGGAAGTGTTCTCTGTAGGACAGGGACTGAGAAGTTTTTGGGGTTGCAGAAGAGTCCTAAGGATAGTTCTAATACTGCATGTCCAAGTGAGGGGCTGTTGCCCCACAGAAAAGACCCCAGGATTCTCCCTATCAGTTATTTCAGGTGTCTCACATTCACAGCTTTCTTTAATCCATAAATAGTTAATGCAGGCCCCGACATGCTGAACAGACTCAGGCACTACCTGATCTACCATCTGCCTGGGGAGTCGATCACCCCATGTTCATGACCTCAGAGTGACCCATTGGGTTCCACATATTTCCCAGCACACACATGTATGTTCATGTCATGGGCTTACATGGGATTTTAAGAGCTTCATGTCAGTCATAACGTTTTGTAATGAGTCACCAAAAATCTGTCAGTGTTGAAGCATTTTAGGGCATTAGGGATATGGGGAGGTGGATGTGGCACCTGGCAATCTCCTCACCCTTCCACTTCTCCACCCAGCAACCCGGAGGCAAAAGTGCTGGACTACCAGACACAGCAACAGAAACTCTTCCCTCAGCTGGCCTCAGCCTATGCATTCCATTTCCTGGCACAAAACCTCTTAGAATTCTTCCACACCGCCTTCAAAGCCATTCTGCAGAGAGACTTCAGCCTCCTGCCTGAGGTACCTGCTATCTGCTGGGGGGCAAGAGCTGGGGACGGGGGTCAAATTGTTCTACCCACTGGGAAATGGCCCATGTTCTGCCCCATGAGCCTTTCCCCAGCTTTCCAATATCCTGGGGCACCCACAGTGAACTGGACCCCAACACATAAATCTACCCCCACCAGCCTACCAGAAAGCTCCCAAAATGTTAGAGGAAAGGTTCACACCTAGTATACAGAACACAAGTGCACAATTCCTTGTGTGCACTTGGAACCCATGAAATGCTGAAAACCAAAAGTCATTTAGAAATCATTTGGCAGCACAGTTTGGCCTGGCTGACCTGATTTATTCCACTGAGTGTGACTATATATTCTGCAGCAGAGATATTGATGCATTCAATCACTAAACCTGACCCCAGGCTCCTCTAAGAGGTATTATATAGAATCTACCTTAAATGCCCTGCATTATTACCCTTCTAAAGAACAAGGAAAAAAATGTTCTGATTTCAAGGATCTCAGATAAAAGACAGTGGATATACAAAGACCCTAAGACTTGTCTGTTCAGGCCCCCGGCCTTATAAGCATTTCTTCACTAGTCCTTCCAACAGGATATAAGCACCACTTATATCCCCACTTTACAGATGAGGAAAATGAAGCAAAGAGAGGCACTGAAAGTCCTCCTAGGGACTTGAAAGTCTGAAAGACAGATGGGAACTTTCAAGAACCAAAAACTCAAACCAGGCCTGCTGCCTGCCAGGCGCTCCTACAACCCAGGATGGCGAGTTGATGGCAGACTCCATCCTCACGGGCCCCTGCTCCATCCAAATCTTCTGCTTGCCAGCACAATGCACGACTCCTGGATGATGGCAAGCCCCTCCAGAAAGCACCCTCTTCCTGAGATCCTGGAGGCACTGGCCTGGACAGTCCCTTTGGTTTAATTGCCCCGCCCCACCCCCAGTTGCACTGCCTAATTGTGTGACCTCGAGTGAGTCTTCTGATCTCTCAATCTCGGCCCTTCATTCATAAAGTTGTGAGCTGAAGAAATCATTCTGACTTCACAGGGCTGTGCTCAGCAGAGTGGGCAGTGAGCACGGATGTTACTGGAGGGCCCATTTATCTGATGCTCTTCCTGTTTGCACAGCTCCATGCACTGAGCTCAGGGATGAAGGCCACAGTAGCAGACTTCAGCACCCAGGGGACCGAAGTATGTCGCAGGGCCTGTGGTGGACACGGCTACTCAATGCTGAGTGGACTGCCATCGCTGGTTACCAAAGTGACAGCCTCCTGCACCTACGAGGGTGAGAACACGGTGCTCTACTTGCAGGTGGCCAGGTAAGGTCTAGGCTAGCTCAGGCCTTGGCCTGACATCTGGGGGTCCCACCAGCCTTCTGCTTGGGTTGAAGCATCCATCTGATGCCCACAGAGAGCAGACTTTGGGGCGCACAGACACATTGTGCCTCTCACAGTGTGACTCCAACCCATCCACTTCTCCACATTCACTGCAGCTCCAGCCAGGCTGCCATCCTCTCACCCGGACAGCAGTCTCCTCACTGAGGTCCTGCTTCTGCCCTGTCCCACTGTAGTGCCTTTCTTCACAGGCAAACAGAGGGATCTTTTCAAAGCTCAGACAAGATCACATCTCTCCCTTGTTTAAATTCTCCACTGGCTTCCCACCACTCATAGGAAAATGGCACAGTGCACTCTGTCGCCTACAAGTCCTCACGACCTGACCCTGTTCCCTCTCCATCCTGCTTTCACAACCTCCTGCCTCTACTCACAGCTGCCAGCCACACAGTTCTTCTTTCCTATCACCGGCCTTTGCACTCACTTTCCTCACCCTTAAACTCTGCCTCCAGTTTACTGCATCACTGGCTCCTTCTCCCCTCCCAGTCTCAGTAAAGACACCCTCTTGAGATGTGCCCCCTGACAAGGCCATCGGGGTAGCTGTCTCCTTCTGAGCAGTTACCACAATCTGAAAGTATCTCCTTTTTTGGTGACCCCACTGAGGGCAGGGAGTACACCTGCCTTTCTTGCTGCCCTCTGTGGATTTAGTGCAGGGCCCAAGGCCCCGAGGCTCCAACTTGAGAGAAAAGAAGGAATGGCTGAGTCAGTCTGCTCCCAAGTGGCGCTTTCTTTTTCTCTCTCCTGCCTGCCTCATGTCTGAAAAGGTCTTTCACATTCCTTTATTCATTAGAGATGGAGAACCGGAGGCTGAGGGAGGTAAAGTAACTTCTATAGGATCACACAGGTCTCAGCAGAGCTACAGGGAATCCAAAGTTGTCTGAGCCCAGAGCCTATAACCACTGGGCTGTCACAAGGAAGAAACTGAAAGTCACCTGTAATCCTCCCACTCTGCTAGCATTCTTGGATCTTAACTTTTTTCACCTAAGAAAACTGAATTTCCATAGTCACTGTACAATTCATCATAAATTCCTAAATCACAAAATCCTACCCAGCAGAAGAGATTGTTTGCTCAAATATAAAAAGGGTTTATGTTCAGGAGCCGAGTGTCTGCCAAGCTCCAAGCTCCAACCCATTTCTCAGTGAAGAAACCGCCTCAGGGTGCTCCTCCCCAGAGCCTCACAGCCCAGCTCAGGAGCGCTCTGAAGAGAGGACGAGCCATCAGGAAGGACAGGACAAAGGCATGGTGGCCCTGGCTCTCTGATAGGGAATACAAGAGTGCAAGCCTCTGGGAGAGAGGGGTGCTGGGTTGTCCCACAGGGTCTCCCATCCTCTCACCTGCCTCGACTCCCACCCCCAGGTTTCTGGTGAAGAACTATCAGCAGATTCAGAAATCCCCAGGATTCACATCACAGAAGTCTCTCCCTAAGTCCATTGCATATCTGGCTGCACCAGTCGTAGCCAGGTGCCCAGCCCAGGGGGCAGCTGACTTCCTCCGCCCGGAGCTCTACACCACAGCATGGGCACACGTGGCAGCCAGGTGAGCCAGTGCTGAGAGATCAGCCATCCACCAGGAGGCAGGCGCCTTCCCACGCTCGGGCTTTGGGGATTGGTTGGGTGGGCGCTCGTGGATAATCTGAGAACCACCCCTGGCTCCAACTCCTCAGTGTTCTTAGCTCCTGCCACTATGGACAGAGAGACGGGGAAGCGACACCCTTCAGCCATGTGCTACCATCACTTCCTCATCCTGGTGAAGCTGGCCAGTAGGACATCACCTCCCTGGCCAGTATAAGGAACTTTTAAAGTTTTTAGGTCCTTATGATATGCAATACAAGGAATAGGTAAATATTTAGAATGTAGCAGTATGTAAATACCCACAAATAAAACAATACTCATATGGTTGAAATATCCTACAACCTAAAAATAAATTTTGAAAATATGACGATATCAAGGGATGGAATTAGTTTAGGGCCAGGTGTAGTAGGCTCCAGGGAATCATTCATTCTGCCATTCAACAAATATTATCGGAAAAAAATTATATTTTTTCTAAGCAAATATTGTCAGGCTCCTAGAGTGTGTCCAAATATGCCAGGGGCTGAGAACAGAGGTCCTAGCCAAACACAGATGCTATCACAGAAAAGATGGAACGATTTAGCTACCTAAAAAGGAAACCTTCTGGACCCCTACCCAAATAAAACACCAAAAACAACCTGAAAAAAAATATTTTTACTATCTAATAAGAGGTATTATATCCCAAGGGATGATCCCAGGGATGGTTGATGGTTATTTCAAGATCACAAGCAACTTGGGATATTCCCTTATTTATACCACAAATATTAAATGCCTATAACATGCCAGGCACTATTCTAGGTACTAAGGGTCCATCAATAAACCAGTTCAATTAAAAAAACCCAGGCTCACAGGACAAAGATTTCAGTTGGGTCAGGTAGGGAGGGCAAACGAAGGCTGCCCAGGATATAAGTTGTCATTATATTGCCTTTTGCTTGGAAATCAATGTGACATCTGCTTATCTCTTCCCCGAGAAAGGAAATTTTAATAAATTGCATAAAAATTCCAAGGGTCATGGGAGGTGGGGCATGGCAGGGAATAGAAAATAAGATTAAAGGTTAAGTAAATGGTACATGACCCATTTAGTGGTTTAGAGAAGGGTTGCTTTTTTATTTTTTTTTAAGGTCCCCTGGAACAGACTGGTGGACCACAGGCCTCATTAGCCTTTACAGAAAAACCATTCTCCTTGCTCTGCCGCAGGAAGTCAGTCAATAGAAGGGCCTGAAAACACTGGTGTCAGGATGGAGTCTGCATTAGAAAGAGGGGCCTGCTCCTGGCCTGTGGTCCTGCAGCTTTAAAGCTCTGAGGCTAAGAAGGGCTCCACTCCCTAAGAGCTGTGTAACCCTCGAAAAGTTATTTAACCTCTAGAATTCAGTTTTCTCCATTATAAATTAGGAACGTCTGCTCTAAAAAGGGCTAAAGACATAAGGTATACAAAGTATTTAGCTTTGTAATACCTAACTGGTGAATAAGTGGGAATTATTCCTACTTCTGAGGAACCCCAGGCAGGCTGGGCCCCAAACCCCATCAGTCTCTTTTCCACATAGTCAAGAAGTTAAACCTTTCTCTCTTCAGGCTCACCAAGGACTCAGTGCATAATTTACAGACTCGAATGCAATCTGGGGTTGACAGGGTGGAGTCATGGAATCAGACCACTGTCATACACCTCCAGGCTGCAAAGGTGAGTTTCCAGTCAGCCGAAGCTGAAAGAGACCCGTTTTGCTTCACAGACGGCTACCCTGCTGGGAAAATCCAAGCTCTGCCATTATTCCCCAACTCTGTTCAACAGCTGCCCTCATTTCACTTCCAAGGCTTAGTCCAAGGTATTTTAATTAAAGGACTTAATTCCAAAGCAATCTTGCTGGTAGCTCTTAGGGAAAAATGTAATGAGGCAGTATTATTGGATTTGCTTTAGGTTGTTCAAATATTTCCTCCCAGATAGAAAAGCAGGTCATGTCTCCCCTTAGCCCCACAGGCAATCCTTAGATGTCTGATTCAATTTCACTATGTTTTCTATTTGTGCCTAATTCAGACAGTCAACAAATATTTGAGCCCCCACTCAACACCAGGCGCTCAACACCAGGCACTGAGGTGGGTACTGAGGGCGTGACAGTGCCCATTACACAACTACAGTTCAGAAACACTGTGATGGGCTAACACAGGTGCCACAGGACCCCCGAGCAGGCACATCTCTATCCACATTGAGGAGTCAGAAAGGCTTCCCAGGAACGGCATAAAGGCCAAGACTTCAAGGATGAGCTGAAATTAGCTGGGCAAAGAGGGGGACACTGTGGCTTTGGAGAGGAAGGTTTCCTGACAAATGGAACAGCAGGTACAAAAGGAGAGAGCAAGAAAAGGCTTTGTGTTCAGGAGAAAATGTAAATCTTCCCAAGGAGGACCTAAAGAAGGAAAATTAAACCAGGGAGAGGAAGAAGGTAGGGGAGAAGGAAAAGGAAGCAGACTAGGGACCTTCTGCACTATTGTGAGAAGTTTGGGTTTTCTTTTCATGGCAAGGGAAAGCCTTCACAGAGTTTGCACCAGAGGAGTGAAGTGATCAGAGTTTCATTCCAGAAGGATCATTCAGGCTGCAGGGAGAGGTATGGACTGGAGCCTAGAGACCAGTTAGGAGAGGCAGCAGCAACCGGGGTGAGGGCAGAGGTGGTCCTGACCATGAACTTGGCAGATGATGTGGAAAGAAGTGGAGAGGTGCAGAGATATTAAGGAAATAGAAGAAAGGGACAGGCTTGAGGGAATAATGGGGAAGAAAAAGATGAGAACGACCCTGAGCTCTATTTTAAGCAGCTGGGCCTACCTGGAGCTGGAAAACCAAGGTGATCACTTCAATCCTCAAGCATCACACATGGAAAATGGCCCTGAAGGAGTGTTTTGCAGCTGCCCTTATGGGGCGAGGGCTGGTTGGGCAGGCTACCTAGTGACCCACCATCTCCATTACATCTGCCATGGCCCTGTACAGGGGTGCTCCCTGTTGTGCTAAATGTCCCATCAACACAGAGGAGGGTGAGCCCAGGCTGTGCTCTCACCTGACCACCAGAAAAGAACCACAGCCGCCCATTATTCTTATGTCCTCCAAGCTTCTGTCTTGCCTTCAAATGGACCAGACACTGCTTGCCAGCTTTACGTCATTTCATGCATACAACCTTGGGAAGGAGAGTGGCATAATCTCCATTTTAAGGATGAGGAAACAGAACTCAGGAGTGTTAAGTCCCAGTGGTAGGACAGAGCAGAGTCAAGCAAGATGCTTTGCTTTCCTTTCCCCATGGAGGTAAGTCATGCCACCAGGGAGTCTGTGTGCCGGAGAGAGATGAGCCCCAAGCATCTTAATCTTACCAAGAGTAAGATGATCAACCAGCCTGGAGGAAAGCAAGTCCCTGCACCTTCCTAGCGAGAGCCTGAGCTGAGTCTCAAAAGTCACACGGGCAGGGAAATCTGTACTTTCGGGGCTTTGTGCTTTAGCCAGCCTTCTACTCCACAGAAACCTCAAACAGCCAACCAGATCCCATCTGCATACCTCTCTCTGCAGATAGAGAGTGGTAGCAAGCAAGGGGACTGGGAACAGTAGCAGAGGGTTGCACAAGGAGGAGTGAGCCCTAGCCTGAGTGCTGGCCACAGCTCTGTAGATGACCAGTCATGTGACCTCGGGCATTCCTCCCTCTCTGGGCTTTAACTTCTCTTTTGTGAAAGTGACCTGGAAGAGCTGGTCAGACTATGATGGGCCTTGGTCCGATAATCTCAGACCCTGCCCAGAAGAGGTATCAGTCTCTAGGGCCACTGAGACAAATCCTGGTATTCATGACAATCCAGCTTCAGTCTCTTGTGGCTTTGGCAATAAATGAGGGTACAGATTCTCACTGTTTTGGACCTCACTGCTACAGTTTACCAATCACGCGACCTCTCGAGGTCTCAGTCTGCTCACCTGCAAAATGGAACCTACCTTATAGGATGATCATGAAGATTAAACGAGTTAATATATGTAAAACTTAGAGAGGCACCCAGTATATAAATGCCTCACATCCCATCCCCAAATCAGTAAGGAGACAAGATTTGAACTAAGACACGCAGAAGTAAATTAAGTTCGCTGTGCTGAGAGCAAGGTGGCAAGGCCTGGCTCAACCTTTCCCTGAAATGTAGAAGCCATTTTCTCTTTCTGGTTCTTTCTAATCCTCATCCTGCCTTCCAAGGCATAGAAGCAGCTCTTATCGCTCCACTCGTCCATCCAGGGCCCTGAGAATTTAAGTAAGCAGCCCCCAGTTAGAATAGGGCAACAGGGCTAGGTGAAAAAAGTGAGGGTCTCCAGTTTTGCCAAACTGGGCCCCCTATGAGCAACAAGGGCTGTTTGACATGACAGGGGCAGGAGAACACATCTGCTCCACATACAAATGTTGTAAACCCAGCATGTCTGTGAGCACACCAGGTCCAGGTGGCAAAGTTCATGATGCACAGGAAGGTCCCTCTGCCTGAAATGACCTTTCCTCCTCCATTCTTTGTCCCTCTTGGTAAGCTCCTTAAAGTTCCCAAGACACTCTCAGCCTTAAAGACACTACCAGCAGCACAGGCATTACTGGGGAGCTTGTCAGAAAGCATAGATTCCCTATCCCAGAATTTGCATTCTGACAAGACCCCTATGTAACCTGTATGCACATAAAAGTTTGAGAAGACCTGTTTGTTCCACTTTCCCTTTCTCTCTGAGCGCCCCCCCATGGAACTCAGTTATCCTAGCTGATAAAAATAATTAAGTGCTTTGGTCTTAGGGAGAGTGGAAATAGTCAGAATATTTAGTAACCAGTGGGAAGGGGCATCGACCAATCACAAAGGATGACAGGTCAGGCATTAATTCTTTAGATGCTGGGCTGTGGGGACGAAGGGGTTCCAAGGAAGGAGCCTGCTGACAGAGGGGGCTCACCTGCCCACCTGCAAAATGGAACCTACCTTATAGGATGATCATGAAGATTAAACGAGTTAATATATGTAAAACTTAGAGAGGCACCCAGTATATAAATGCCTCACATCCCATCCCCAAATCAGTAAGGAGACAAGATTTGAACTAAGACATGCAGAAGTAAATTAAAAAAGTATTATTTGAACCACTGACCAAGCCAGTCTGTTGTACATGGCCTAAACGACAGCACTCCTTACCTCAAGGAGTTTACACTCGACCTGGGAGAAATTCTGTATACAAATTGAATCCCTACTTCCTGCTCCAAGGCCCATACCATACACACAAACATACACACCACAGCCTTTAAGATAGCAGGCAATAAACAACTTTTCCTGAGAAAAGTGGTTCTGTCCCCCACCATCCCCAGTCCAGCCTCCAAGACTCCCATATTCTTCCTTTCTACTTTCAAACTTACTTGAAACTGCCCTAAAAAAATAAGAAAACTGGGCCTCCCTGGTGGCTCAAGGGGTTAAGCACTGCACTATGAAGCAATCTGCAACCTCTGCAGCATGAGTTCGATCCCCAGCCGGCCAGAGAGAAATCCACATGGCACAGCAGACCTCTCCTGTCTCACCAGCTGCTCCCCTCAGCAGTGTATTTTGTCAGTCTGCCTGTTCTGTTCCCCACTCTGTCTCTGGTGAATCCTCTCACTCCTGTGCATCTCTGGCCTGTACCCCAGCTCTTGTATGCATTAATAAATATTTTTTAAAAAATGAGGAAACTAAGGGCCAAGTTCTGGAGCCCGCTAGCCCCCCACAAATGTACAAAATACACACACCTTCAAAAAAGCTGTCACGGTGAGCTAGGAGAAAAGGCGGTTGCTTGCCAGTCTGTAGGGAAACATGAGGCCACAGTAACTTGTATACACAAGTTGTCCAGCAATCTGGCCAAGCTTCCAGCATGACTTCTGGAATCAGAAATCAGAGGCTAATGCATCTTTGTACCTTCATAGGCACACTGCTACTATATCATTGTGAAGAATTTTGCAGAAACTCTGCAGAAACTAGAAGATGAACCAGCAATTCAGCAGGCACTCAAACGCCTCTGCGACCTCTATGCATTACATGGCATCCTGACTAACTCGGGCGACTTTCTCCATGATGGATTCCTATCTGGGGCCCAAGTAGATATGGCAAGAACAGCATACCTGGACCTGCTCCCCCTCATCCGGTGAGTGGCTGACCCTCAAACCAGAGTAGTCTTCAGAGAATAACTCTAGACATTAGTTCACAGGTTACTTTAAACTCCAAACCTTCAACACAAAAACCTTGCTTAATAGGGTCTGGCAAAAGCAACAGCGTTGGTGTAATAACAGCATTATTACACACAAAGCATTATGGATTAGTGAAAAAAAAAAATGAGAAAAAGTTGGAAGTAAAAATGCTTCAATTACCTAGCTCCCTCAACTGAACTCTTCAACACTGCCAGGGAGACACAACAATATCTAAAGAAAATGAATAAAATGAAGCATACTACAAACTAATATGTATTAGCACCAATGTTAAATCTTAGAGCTAATATTTAAGGAGCATTTGTATGTGCCAGGCACTATGCCAAAAGCTTTTACATACATCATCTCATTTAATCTTTACAGCCATTTTAAGTTGATACTCTTAATCTCCTCATTTTACTGGGAAGGAAATTCAGGTTTAGGGGCGTTAAGTAACTTGCCATGGCCACCAATTAGTCAGAGGAGGACTCAGGTATACTCTGGGGTCTGTCTGACCCGATCATATTCTCTTAATGTATATATATTAAGGTTAAGGCTGGGCTATTGTTTGTTCCAAGTATATAATATATACCGTTGTCTTTGTTGAATGTATTTAAGCAAATTCTTACTAAGCTGACCAAACTTACTTTAATATTCCCTCAGCTTCGAGATGGAAAAAAAAAATGAGGAGGGGGACATGGTGCTAATTAGCCTACAAGACACAGAAAAAAAAATTAATTCTAGTAGTTTATATAATAATTTGTAAAACAATACCTAGTTTTTAAATGCAGCACTAATGGTGTGCAATTTAGGGTCATGACATACTAATGCTATGCTTCATTCTTTTATTTTACATGTAAAAAACTATATCCAAACCAAGGCCTTGATCTGACCAGGGTGCTAAAAGAAACAGAAATCAAAACAATACAAATTATCCACTATTTGTTGATACGATGAAAAATGGGTTAATTTGAGTACATAACCTTTTTTTGAGAAAACATGATGCCTGTTGTACATGGGTGTGTGTGTGTGTGTGTGTGTGTGTGTGTGTGTGTCTTTCCCCCTAGAACCTTCAACAAGTCACATTATCAACAAGACTAAGAATAAAAAGGGAAAAGATTTGAAATTTTTTAAAATAAGATTTTCATGAGAGGTTAAAAAATAAAAACTAGACCAAATTCTTTTTATTTCTAACAATATGCAAACTTACACACCATTCATGACTACATATAATCACCTAGCAGTTAGTTTAGTTGGTGGTCAATAAATGTTTGTTCAATTAAATCATCAAAAAATGTCAAAAATACAATTATGCCCCAGGTATTAAACTCTAATATAGAAAATCCAGTGGAACCATTAATAACATGACTGAGCATTGCACACTTCATGCCCAAGTGTGTCTAACTTTCTGAAATACTTGGTATTTGAAAGCACATAAAGACAATAATGTTCTAGCCTTGATTGTCCTTGGAGATGAAACACAAGATCACCTCAACACCTCACAAGCATGATTTTCTCATTTGCAGCAGCATTTCTAAGCTCTTGCCTCGGCTCCAGAGACATATAATTCAAGACAAGACAGACAATACTGATGCAAATAGACAATTTATGTATGCATCAAACCCACAAATTGATTTACTCACATTATGGTTCCTAAGTAACCTCCAGACCACTGCAGGGTAATTAGGTATGTAAGGCTCAAAGCTTTTCTATGTCAGATGGAGCAGATGATGAAGGAACTAGAGTCAAAAGCTTGTCCTCAAGCAGGCAATTCCCTGATTATTCAATATCACCCTCAGATTTATGAGATGACAAGCGAACGATGGCACACTATTTTAGGGACACTAAGAACCAGCTCTCTGTGTAATGGTAATTAATTTACCCTAATGGGTTTTCAGTTGTTAAATCTCCTCGGTTGGGGGACTTGCAGGCAAAGATGGCAGATTGAATGTATGCATTTACTTTTGTTCTCACCTGAAACTCTATTAAAACAGCAAGTGGATTTAAATTTTTAAAGACATAAAACCACAAAGAAAAATAAGAACAGGAGAGGAAACATGAAATTGGAAAGTAAATAGACGAACTATAATTTACCCATCTGAGAAAATGCAATCGTCAACCAGAAAAGGGAAAAAGCAAAAAGCAGTTACACCAAAGAAACCCAACAACCCAATATCGAGATCTCCGGTATCAGGGATAAAGAGAAGACTGATAGAGAATGATTAAAAGTTTACCACAAAAGTTGAGTCCCTAGTTCCCCTCCTCCTCTCTAATTTTTTTAAGCCTTTCCTCAATCCCATCCTGCCAGAAGGATAAACAGAGGATCTGTGGACTAGGGAACACCAGGTATAGCTGAGCCTAAGGGTGAGGCTACCCTGTCGAAAATGAGGACTTGAATAAAATTACAGCCCAAATGCTGATGCTGCTTCTCAGCTCTTCTTCCTCACTGGTTCTAAGTTCTAAGTTCATCATGCTCCAGAGGATCACTCAGGGATCACCAGACATCTGAGAAAAGCCCTAACATAAAATACAGATACCAAAACAAGCAAGAAAACAGCAACTCAAGGGACACAAGAGAACACACAGTAAGAAGAAAACTTTAAAAGATCAGTAATATCCTCAGAGTTAAGAGGAGATATTGCCACCATAAAACAAGAGAACATCATTTCTTAAAAAGCAATATTCACAGAACAAAGAAAAAGAGTTCTGTGAAAATTAAAATACTACAGTGGGATAAAAAACTTAATTGAAGGACCAGAAGATAAAGCTGCAGAAATCTGCCAGAAAGAGTAAAAAGACAAAAAATAGGAGAGAAGATAAAAGTGGTAAAAGGACTCCTCCTAACTGCCCAGCTGAAGAACAGGTCTAAAAAGAGCAGAGCAAACAAAAGGGAGCACGTTATTATATGATAATTCAAGATAATTCAAATGAAGGATAGAATTTTCAGACCAAAAAAGCCACAAATGTTTACAGTACAGGAGAGACACGCACATACACGAAGTAAGTCAAACAGTATGTGAAATGGTAATAAGTGCTATAAAGAAAAGGAGAACAGGGAAGGGAAATAAGGAATGCTGGGGATGGGGTGAGGGGACTGCAGTTTTTAATAACAGGTCAGGGAAGCCTGTTAGGAAGGGTGACATTTAAGAAAAGATCTGAAGGGAGAGGAGCCATGTGGTTGACTGGAAAGGGAACATTCGAAGCAAAAGAACAAGTACAAATGTGGGAGGCCGGAGTATGTTTGGCACATCTATCCAGAGAACAGAGAAGAGGCCACGGAAGTTGGGAGTGCTGTGAATGAGATGGAGAATGAAACCAGAGGTCAGAGAGTTAAGGATGTATCAGGAAGGGCAAGGAAGAAGGTGTAAATCATTCAAAAACCTAAGACTTTGGCTTTTACTTTGTGCAAAAAAGGGAGGGTTTCAAGCATGGGTTAGATAAAATCTAAAGGATCACTTGCTGCCATACCAAGGATTGACTGTGGCAGGGGTGGGGGGAGGTGATGAGTAAAAAACTGGGAGACCCATTAGGTTTCTACAATAATCCAGATGAGAAATGATGGTGGATTGGACCAGGGTGCTAGCACCAGAGGTAATGGACGGTGGTCAAAGTTGGACAGATTTTTGAAGAACAGCATTGTGGCGGATTAGAAGTGGGATGTAGAGACAAAGAGGAGTTCAGGTTTTTGGCCAGGACAGAGGTGCCATTTACTATAAATAGGGAAGTCTACAGGAGGACCAGATTTGGGCAGGATGGGCAGATCTAGAAGATCAGAAGTTTGGTGCTGAACACGTTAAGTTTAAAGAACCTGCTAGAAATCAAGTAAAGTGTTAATAAGCAGGTGAGGCTGGAAAGATAAATTTGGAAGTCATTGCATATGGCTGGTATTTAAAGCCATGACAAGGCAGATATCACAAGGAATGAGCTTCTGAAGAGAAAAAGCCCAGGAACTGATGGTCGGGACACTCCAAAGATGATGAGGTGGTGACACTGACAAGAGTCAAGTAAGTGGAAGGGCGAGAGTGAAAACCTGAATGTGTCCAGTTTAGAACAGGAAAACTATAAATAGCAAGCATAAACAAGCTCTCAAAGTTCTGTCATAAAAGGGAGCCAAAATATGGGGCAGATGATGAAAGAACTAGAGTCAAAAGCTTGTGCTCCAGCAGGCAAGGGAAGGCACCTAGTGGAGATTGGCCCGAGCTGAAAGCGTGGACCAAGGAAAGGGAAAGCAGCATACACAAGTGCATGGATGGGAGGTGGTGAAAGTGCTCGACTGCTTCTATGTTATCAGTGAAACAGGATGCCAAGGTAAGAGAGATGGGAACATAGTAGAGATTTGACGATCAAAGAGAAGGTGTGAAATTATCATTTAAGGGAATGAAAAATTCAATAGATCGAAGTAATATGAGATTGCTAGGAGGCACAATAAGGGTCTTTAGCCCTTATTACACTAGTCAGTATTGGTTTTTGCAGGCATAGTTAGACACAAAGTTGGTGATTACGAAGGACAGGGTTTTGCTAAGTACGTATGACAAAGCAAGAAAATGGCTGAATATATTTTGAAAGGAGTGATTATAATAGACCACAGAATTTCAGCTGGATAAGGAGGGAAGTGTGGCCACAGGGAGATGAGGGACATTAAATAGGTGGTAAGTGCTAGTAGGGGCAAAGAATTTTAAATAGCCCTATATGAAATTCCCTCATAAAGATTGATGATGGTTATCCAGAAAAGTCTAAAATAGGTATCATATCTGGGCCTCCCTGGTGGCGCAAGGGGTTGAGCACCGCACAATGAAGCAATCCAAAGCCTCTGCAGCAAGAGTTCGATCCCCAGCCGGTCAGGGAGAAACCCACATGGCAAGGCAGACCTCTCCTGACTCGGCCCCTGCAGTGTGTTTCAGTCAATCTGCCTGTTCTGTTCCCGGCTGTCTCTGGTGAATCCTCTCACCCCACCCCACCCCGCGCCACACACACACACCTCTGGCCTGTACCCCAGCTCTTGCATGCATAAATAAATAAATCTTTAAAAAAATAAAATAAAATAGGTACCATATTCCAGTCACCTCAAATGCTTTGTGAAACGAGCATTAGTCAAGAGTGTACATAATCTCATTATGTTTTATATCCTTTGCTTAAAAAGGAAGGGGAGCATGTGGACAATTAATTTTACTCAATAGGTTAAAATACAATTTGTTGCTTGAAAAGGAAAGAATTATAGATTACCAGAGGGAGTAAGGTAGGAAGATAGGAGATAGTAAATGGAATGTGGCTGATATTATGGGCAAGTTACAGCCATTGTCACTCCTGGTGTGTCATCTTGGCAGAGAAAGAGAGTTTCTGGAAACTGTGGAACAAGGTCAATGGAGAAGATTCAAAGAACTGAGAGGTTAAGTTTTAGAAGAACATCCACAAAGATGGTAAAATCATTAAGAATTATAGCAGGAGTGATAATTTATAGTATAATTTATAGCAGGAGAGAAACATTAAGCCTGGAGGTAAATTCCAATAAAAGAGAGATGTGGTAGGCACACAGCACAGCTGTGAAAAGGATATATAAAGTCATAAAAATATATAGCTATAATGTCCTAAAAATGTAAGCACTGAACATAAGTCTGGCCAAAATTATAATTATATTGGGAGGCAGGAGGGTCAAGGGGAAGCAGCATGGGGAGATGGTGGGTGACAGGTAGGGGTGAGGAGAGGGTACTAAAAATAAATCCTTGTCTTTTGTAATGTAGAGTCAACAGATAATATCTAAAAGTGAATAATCAAGAAGTAACAATATGAACATGATATTTAGACATTCAGGTAAATAAAAAAATATCAGCTAAAAAACTGAAATAATGGCAGCAGGGGGAGAGGAAATAGAAGTTAGAGACAGGGAATATGCTGATTTTAAATAACTATTTGGCTTTTCACACTGACACACAGAACTCATCAAAAATTAAAACAAGAGAAAAAGTAAAACTGAATTGTAAGAAAGTGAATAATGATGCTGCTTCCGATTATTCTCCATCCCAGATTAATGAGGTTCGTAAAAGCAATCTAAAATACATAGTCTTGTTTTCTCTTACAGGAAGGATGCTATCTTGTTAACTGATGCTTTTGACTTCACCGATAAGTGTTTAAATTCAGCACTTGGCTGCTACGACGGAAATGTGTATGAACGTCTGTTCCACTGGGCTCAGAAGTCACCGACCAATACTCAGGTAGGTAGTTAGTATTGGTTTTGTTACAAAAAAAGGCACAAAACATAGTGACTACACCTCCATTTTTCCCATTTTAATTGATTCCCAGTAAGTTGGAAATCACTTGCCATAGCCTACCAGTTTTACATATTTTCAGAATACATAAAAGAACACAAGTGTGGGGATAAGTCATGGTAGCAACTCAGTGTGGACTATAATCAGCAAAATGCATTTCTCAGAATTTGGCAAAGGAAATTAAGAGGAAGGACCAAGCTAAATCATGGTTTGACATACCCAGGGGCATACAAACATAGGGACAAACTGACTTAAGTTAACAAAAATAAGACAAATCACTGCAGTGACTTAGCCATCTTATATTTCAGTCTTTTAACTCTCAATTTTGGGTTGTAAAACTGGTATTCAGAAGTGAAAAGGCAGCTTGGGGTGTCTCTCTAAGACCTAACTGCCTGATAAAGATGCCTCCTTCCTCTTTATTCTGAAGAACACAATCCCAATTACAAAGAAGGCTACTGCACTGTCCTCTGAATCCAGGAAAGTCATATAAATGACAATTACAAGAGTCATAGCAAAAAGATCCTTATTGTCCTAAGAGAGAAGACCAGAACTCTGTGTCATAAATCCTAACACTCCAGGGCCAGCGTCCCAGCCTCTGCTGGGAAGAGCTATGAATGTCAATGAATACATTAAGTGATGAGAAGACATAAGCCCTGTACTTAGAATATAGGGAACCAGTGTTTAATACCAAATTTGATATAGATAATCAAAACAGATAGTCTACACAACACATGTACGTACACAACAGATTTTTTAAAAAGTTCTATAATGTAAATATGTTATTCAAATGGTGGCACTTACTTTTTTTTACGTCTTTGGACAAATTTCAGAAAAGGTGTCTTAACAGCTCATCAGATTGGCAACTCTCAGGCTTTCATTCACACTTAACTTGGTGTTAGACTTGCTTTTAACATTTTGCATCCTGTCATACCTCAAAGCTTAATTTAACACAATTATCTAAAGTGGTTAAACACAACCAGTTACCTCCCAAGATAATTATCAGAAGAACGTCAATCCATTTTGGTCACTCCCTATCTCCAGGAAGGCATCCTTTAAACGCAACAAGCAAATATAAACAACTTATCTAAAGAAGGTATGCTACATTTATGGCTTAGTACAACTAAGCTACTTCCAGTGTAGCTGGAACTCTTTCCAATATCATCCACTTTCTAACATTTAAATCCTGGTATAAAATACAGCGGTCCTGTCCTTTCACGCTAAATTAGCTCCATGATCTTAAGATAAATGTCTGCCCTTTGGTGCTTCAGAGAAAAACCTACCCTGCAGGAACACCTGTCAGGAAATGCTGACATATATAGCTCAAACCTGTTTTCGCTAGCAACACAAGGAAACATGCCAGTTGTCCTGATTCCTCATCTTCACTACAGAATGGGGTGGGGGTGGGGGTGGGGGGGAGTAAGTGTTGTTTTTTTATTTTGTTTCTGATCTTTATTTTTTAAAAATTTAATCTGCATACTACGTGAGGACAGGCCTAAGTGATTGGTATGGCTGACCCACAGCACCAACAGATATAATGAAACGCTGATGCACTTCATCCCATTCACTTTTCTCTATCTCTTACCACTTGACTAGGAACAGGATCTTTCTAACTCCAGGCTCTATCACAGAGCAGACACTTCACATTATGGAATAAACGAACATGATTTTATACAATGAGATGAAGGAAGCTGCTGCATACACAATGCTGCAGGTTCTTGCCATCCCAACTTATATTACCTTGCTAAAAATGTCACAGGTATAGCAATGTGGCTCTTTCATGGTCAGTAATCTAATTATGTGCGGTTACCAATGACTTTGGAGAAAGAATGGTTTCTAATAAGTTAAAATGACACCTTGCTGACTGCCACACACTCTTACATTTCTGGCTCCTCCACAGACCACCAAAATAGCACTTTTAGGCTGTATTTTTCGAATCTGCAATAGATAATTTTAAATCTGCTATAGACTTTTTTCCTCAATTGCAACAGTAGAAAAAAAGGCACTTGCAGATATCTCAAACAAATTAAAACTATACTGAAATATGCCCTGTAGACACAAAAGTATAAATGAGAATATATCTCACTGACATTTTCTACCAAAAGAAAAGTACTATGCTAAGTTAAATACTTTAGAGTCATTATATGACAGACTCTCTTTATCCAAGGTAGGGTAAGTGCTGAGCTTCATTTCCAAGCAGGAGGACGTGCTCTCTCATGATTTACCTTGCCCATGGAGTCTGCCTTTTGGCTTTTTTCCTCATCTGGATTTTATTTCAAGCCAGTTTCTCCAAAGTAAACCACAAAAGGCTGTTCCCATCACCCCCCTCTCTCCCTACACATGTGAATGCATGTCTAAGTGATTCCCTACAGTTCAGGAACCACTGGGGATAATTTCAAAACAAGAACCCTATTTCTCAGAAATTATTCTATTGTAAAAATTTGTCCAAGCAGTAGACGTGTCAAACACATCTACTGATTCTTCAATTATTCAACTAATACTGAGTATATTCTATGTGCCAGAAACAATTCTAGTTACTGAGCATACAGTGGAGCAAGCTTGTCTTCAAGGAGTTTACAGTTTTAGCCTAAGTAGTCAAAAAAGGAAACAAGTAAATATAAAAGATGAGGCCAGAGATGTGAAGAATCAATATGTTACATTAAAGAGTAATGGAGATAACTTATTCTGACACTGAATATTTACCTGATTTTCCACTTTCTGGTTCCTTGCTTTGTGGTAAAGTTTAATTTCAAAGAGCCTCAGAAAGTCAAGCCTTTCATTTGTATTAAATTTCCAAAAGCAAATAATAAGCTGTGTATGGTTTTTTTTTTTTTCTTTTTTTTTTAAACTGGCCACCTGCAGCCACAATTTAAAATCTGCATGAGAAAAGGAAGGATGCCCTTTGGGAAAAATGTTTCTCCATATGCTCACAAATTTTTTTTTAATTTTAAAAATTAAGCATCTTATGTAATGTTATATTGTGAAACTAAAAACTTATTTGAAAGTAAAAATTACTAAACTTAGCAGAAATATTCTGTCTTAATAATGTACTTCTTTCTATAAACAGGGAAATCCTGCCTATGAGAAATATTTAAGACCACTATTACAAAGTCAGAGATCCAAGCTATGAAATCATCAACAGCACTCAAGAGGCAACATGTGATAATGGTACTATGGCATATATCATTAAAATTTTAAAGTATATAACGTGTATTTTTTAAAAAAGTCATTATCTTTTAGATAGTGTCTGAAGTAGATGAACTATGTGGTGATTTACATCAAAATAATATGAGGGAAGAAAAGGAGGGAATAAACAGTTGTTGAAATTCGTGGGTGGGTACTTTTGAAGTTTAAAATTTCCCAAAATAAAGAGCACTATCCATTCATAGCTTCTATTCTGTTAAATACCAGAATTTTGCTTTAGATCTAGCAAAATACAATCAATTCATTAGTTATTACTTGTTTTTAGCACACATTTATACTAGGGTTTAAAAGGATACACACACACACACACACACACACACACACACAAACTTCTCCTCAAGCATGCCTATTTTTGGTATAATTTAAATAAATATAGAGCCTAAAGAATGCAGTCAAGTATCAATTTTTAAAAATCAACTCTTCCATGTGAAAATGATTAATAACTTCATAAAAACAGACATATTACCCCAATATAATCAAGCTATATATTTCATACCATTTAAAATGGCCTAAGTAGATAAAGCTCTGAAATCAAATGTCACTAGACAAATTAAATTGCGAAAAATTCTCAGTGGCTACTTTTCCTAATTTACTCATAAAAATAAATATTTAATTGTTAATAAGTAGCAAATCTCAGAAAATTTACCAAAAGCAAACTTTTCTTCAATAAATTAGGCAAAGGAAATCTTCTAAGTTTTTAACTTTTAAAACCTTGGAACAACTAATATTATTCCCATTTCTTTTTTTTTTTTTTTTTTTTTTTAAAGTGAAAGTATTTTTTTTTTTTTTTTTTAATAGAGGCATGTTTTTCTTTATTTATTTGTTTGCTTGTTTGTTTGTTTTTTGTTTATACATGCACTGGGTACAGTCAGAAGCGCGGGAGGGTGAGAGAATTCACCAGAGCCAGAGCAGAGCAGGCAGAAGGACCGAAGTACACTGCTGAGGGGAGCAGCGGGTGGCAGGAGAGGTCTGCGCACCATGTGGGACCCTCCACCGGTGGCCGGGGAGCAGCCGGGGATTGAACCGGCGCTGCAGAGGCCGCGGGCAGCTTCGCAACCCAGCGCTCAACCGCTGCGCCACCGGGGAGGCCCTTATTCCCATTTCAAACCAAAAAATTTTCTGTTTTCAAATCAAATAATTTATCTCATATTCACCTCAGCTAACTCAATAATACATGACCATCATTTTATCTCACATTCACCTTGCTAACACATAACTTTTTGTCATGGTTTTCTTCTTTGGATTTTTTGGGAAGCCACTAATCAATCAATTTGACATAGGAGACAATTTTCTAAAAACATAGTTTCATACTAGTACCTCTACTGAGACCAATCAACTTGCCAACATTAAGGGATTTTAATTTGAAGGAGGTGAAATAGGAGGAATTATAGGTTTCTGGATGTTGGTCATTTGTGAAACCTTAAAACACATTTTAGAAAGACATGGGGAAAAATGAATGTAGGGGGCCTCCCCGGTGGCGCAGAGGTTGAGCGCTGGGTTGCGAAGCTGCCCACAGCCTCTGCAGCGCCGGTTAGATCCCCGGCTGCTCCCCAGCCACGGGAGGAGGGTCCCACATGGCGCGCAGACCTCTCCTGCCGCCCGCTGCACCCCTCAGCAGTGTACTTCGGTCCCTCTGCCTGCTCTGCTCCCCGCTCTGGCTCTGGTGAATTCTCTCACCCTCCCGCGCCTCTGACTGTACCCAGTGCTTGTATAAATAAATAAATAAATAACATAAAAAATAAATAAATCTTAAAAAAAAAAAAAGGGAAGAAAGCAAAATCCACTTTAAAAAAAAAAAAAAATGAATGTAGGTAAGTGTTCTCATTCTCCTTTCAGGAGAATCTTCTGAGAAAAGACATTCCCAGAGCAGAACCTCAGAGCACCTCCTTCCTCAGAAAACAGGGAACACTTCCTTTATAAAGTGTTCTAGCAAACTAGGGAGTCTCACTAAACATAATCCTTTTCATGAGTAACTTCAAAGAAATAGAAACAAATGAACTATGCAAGTAAGGCAGTGAAAGAAATGAAAGTAAGTACATACATTTCTGTTTCAAATCCTTCACTCACTACACTTTATTTCTTCTCCTCAGAAATAAACATAGCTTTAATAATAAAACACATTTGAGTCACCACAATATACAAAAATAAGGTGGCTGAAGAGTCAATTTGTCCCTATGTTCAATACAAAGCTAGAATAAGGGTCATATTTAGAACTATAACAACTAGCGGCTTATTGAAGAAAAATCTGTAATCTTCAACATAAGTTCTGTTGGAAAAAAGTTGTCGAATAGCATGTCACTGTTGAAATATGTATTCTTTTAGATAAAATTAGTAATTACATCTATTCCTGCTTCAATAACACAGTAGAGTTCTCTAAACTGCATCCTAAGGTTCCACTGAGTCCCCATGAACTAAATTCCAATGTGCCTAGCTAGGCAGTATATACTGGAACATAGAACAAACAAAACATGCAAGTATGATTTTTCTCCCTTAAGTAACAGTAATCAGTAAATACAAACCTAATTTTCATATTCCATTTTTTTATTAGCTTTTTTTTTTTCTGGTAGACAGTACACATGGAAATCATACTGCACCAGGCATAAAACATAAAATTTCTATCACAGGGACACTTTTGTAGTCAGAATTCAATATAAATATTTCTAGTCAGACATATCCATGGCTACAGATATTTGGTTGCTTGATTTATATGCATAGAAAAAACAGTTGTCATAACTGTAAAAAGCAGTACTTAACAAGTACTTTTAAATGATTGGAACAGTTTTTCTTTAATATTACAATACTGCTTATTGGTTTGAAAACTAGGTCACCCTACCTGTTCTGATTTTTCTCAAAGGCATCATGAGTTCTCTGTTTATTCTTTCATTCCTGCATGTTTAGCCTTCTAGTTGAGTTAGGGACCATTTAATCAGAAATCATTTTAGCACTGTAATAAAAAAAGTTCTGTTAAGGGTAGATTATATACCATAATAATTTTCAGACTTCTTTTTATAAAAAAGGTATCTGGAGGCTCTGAACAGGCACATGCATACACAGATGAAGGAAACAACATACAAGTCTGCTAAAGCACAAAACCTCCTTCTGATCCTCAATGCTTTCAAATAAATACTTTTTTTTTTAAATCCCACACTGTGATTAAAAAAAAAAAAAATCAATCTCTTCCATGTCCTGGAGAGTCAGTTTCCAGAATCTTTCTGGGTTGGAGCTCAGTCATCTGTCTTCCGGGCCAACCTACAGAAAGTCCAGTTGTGCTCCACTGTGTTCTCATTCGCTCTCTCACTCATATGATGCACTCGGGTATTACGGATCGTGAAACCTTGTTTTGTGATGTATTCCATCAGGTGGACCCGGAGAGAAACTTCCTGATGATAATCACATGGTCCAAAAGTAAAGGAAACCTGGCAATCTCTGGTGTCCATCATGTGCTTATTCCACTTCGTAAAATAGTTTGAGATACCTTCTAGTAAGGAATGGACCTTTGTGGTGATGGTTAACTGGGTTATGATGACGGCTACTGGATTGGAGTACTTAGAAAGCTTACGAGTACTAGATAACTCCACAACTTCTTCAAAAGTATCCATGGGATACAAAGGTTTAGGGTCATTGAGACACTGAATCAAGGGTTCAATCTGATAAAAATCTGCTTCTTTCCGAAGCAGATCAAATTCCTTAAAATCCAGGGGTAAGGTCAATTCTGAAGTTCTTAAGAAGTTGAGGACATATCGGAAAAGAGGTCCATCTCGATCAATGAAGTAATTGCCTTGAGGGTCTCGAGCTGTGGGGAAGTCCCCCCCAAACATAGCTCCAAGCATGGAATCCGGGTATCGTGTCAATGTGGTGAGAGACGTTGTGTACAAATGTCCACCTACATTTAACGTGACTGGGTCAGTCATCTGAAATTTTTTAAAATATGATCAGTTATCTGAAAAACTTAAAATTCCAATATTGACAAATTAGTAACACTAACGGTAACAAGCAAAGCAAAAGATTCCTTTAGGCTATAATGTATTTAGCAATCCCATGATCCGAAAAAGCTTTATTTTCAGAGATAAGCCCATCCAGATGAAGAGAGCTACTATTTTCTTTCAATAGAAAAAAAGAGTTAAATCTAATCCTTCTTAAAAATTTTTATTAATTCAATCCTTTAAAGATTTACACGAAGAGAGGAGGGTATGACTTCCAAAGTCATTTAATTTCAGGCCCAGTATCTACAGAGAGGTTTTCCAATCAGTGTATAGTGTAGGAAGAGAAAGGCCAGACTAAAATACACTCTTTTTTAATATAAATAAAAAAGGCTTTCATGCTTCTTATTCCAATTAAAAATAAAATGATAGGATATATAAAGATATCTACTTTCAATAACTGTTTTGTTTGGCTCCCTCAAAAAGGGGAGAAAATCATGAATTTTAGAAATAAAAATCTGGGTAGACGTAGTCTTCATAATTTCATGAATATAACTGTGCCAATTACTAAGTTAAAATATACAGTTTAGAGCCTCCCCTGGTGGCGCAGCGGTTGAGCACTGGGCTGTGAAGCTGCCCACAGCCTCTGCAGTGCCGGTTTGATCCCCGGCTGCCAGTGAGGGTCCCACATGGCAGGCAGACCTCTCCTGCCGCCTGCTGCTCCCCTCAGCAGTGTATTTCGTCAGTTTGCCTGCTCTGTTCCCCACTCTGGCTCTGGTGGATTCTCTCACCCTCCCGTGCTTCTGACTTTACCCAGTGCTTGTATAAATAAATAAATAAATCTTTAAAAAAAAAATACAGTTTAGTCAATACAATCTCATCTATTCAAAGGCTAATAGCTTTCAAATTTCATAATCTGATAGTGTATTCACTTTTATTTTATTTATTTTTTTTATTTAAATTTTTTTTTCTTTTTTTTTTAATAGAGGCATGTTTTATTTATTTATTTATTTATTTATTTGTTCGTTTGTTTTGTTTATACATGCACTGGGTACAGTCAGAAGCGCGGGAGGGTGAGAAAATTCACCAGAGCCAGAGCAGGGAGCAGAGCAGGCAGAAGGACTGAAGCACACTGCTGAGGGGAGCAGCGGGCGGCAGGAGAGGTCTGCGCACCATATGGGACCCTCCTCCGGTGGCTGGGGAGCAGCCTGGAATCGAACCGGCGCCGCAGAGGCCGCGGGCAGCCTCGCAACCCAGCGCTCAACCGCTGCGCCACCGGGGAGGCCCTGTATTCACTTTTATAACATTAATGCTGCCATGTGGTCTTTAGTTTTGAAAAGCAAGTTTCTGTAAATAATGCACACTTTTGGTTTTAGAAGTCATATTTAAGGGAAAAAATACACACGGATAGTCTTCAGGTACCAGGTAAAAATACAGTATTTCTTACCAAAGAAAAAGGAAACTAGGGAGATACATGCACATACAAAAAAAGTGCAAGTGGAAAAAATGGCAGCTTCTCAACCTTTAACTTCCCTACCACAAGGAAATGTCCTCTGACATTACCTACTAGATGCTTTAAGAGTCACTACTCCATGAGGAACAATTCAGAGGAACATACTTTAAAGACCAAAAAGTCATGGTCTCTGTTAAATAAGTGATTATAAAAAGTTACTTTGAGAGTCCATATTGAGTTTGCCTACATAAAAACACAAACCAAAAAATAAATCTAAACTAATTAAAAGGGGGCACAAAATATGGGTGCACCTATTTATAATTTTCATCCTTAAAAAATGTCTACGCCTAAGAATACATAAGAAAGGGAAGAGATACACAAAAATAATTTGCCAGTCTTCAAAATGCATCTGCAAAAGCTCTCACCATATAGCCCCAGTCTCCATTATCCATCTGCTCCAGCGCTGAGTCTCCGGGAGCCCAGGTTCCAGGTAAACTTGGGGAAGAGAGAAAGACATGTGATAGCACCTGTAATCACAAAAATAGATAAGACTGGTTTTTCCACCCAACAGAGCAGGCTAAGCACCGAGAAACTATTCATCTCTGCTCAACTAAAACCTACTACAGGGCAAATATCTGTGAAGAAAGAATTCCTCTCCAGCCTTTTACACAACCTCTATCTTTACCACAACTGTACTTGAGAAATTGACAACCTTTACAGGGGAACAATTATCCTATACTTAGAAGGAGGAAGTCTCTACCAAGTAAAACAGTCCTTCAAATTCTACCTATCTTCTCGGAAAATTCAATTTTTTGAATTTCTATAGGAGAACATTATTAACTCTATAAACTTACCCTGGCACAAACCTATAACAATCTTTATTTAAAAGACCATTCGTTTCATCTACATTGCAGCTATACAAACTAAACATCTCAGTAAAATACTAAAAAGTATAAACCTCAAAGACTCAAGTACTGCTGCCTTGGACTAGCTACTGGGAACTGTGGGCGGCGCTGAATGGCCAGGTGCAGCTACAGAACATGGAAGGAAGCTGGCTGAGGGGCTTCTCCAGCTTGGACTTGCACCCAGAGACTTGGGGTGACTTGGAGGCAATGCATGGAGAAAAGATATGAGAAACACTTGGAAGGGACATGTGGGGAGGCTGTCATTGGCAGACAGTGGTAGCCGTTATGTTCATTTGTACTTTGATTTAGCAACTTTTGTCCCTGACTTGCTTGGCTCCTTTTGCCCACTTCGTGCAGCTCCCCACTAGAATGTGCCTGAAACTTGTAGTAAGCCTTCAGTCCTCAGTGCTCTGCTTCGAGCCTGACCCTGTTTGGCTGGGCATTTGCCCATGAGAAGATGGGTAATTTGGGGTGTTGTTGGGAAACTTTTAGCAATATCCTCTCATCTCTTCCCTCTATATGCACATTAATTCTGTTAAAGACCTATCACATTAAGAGTCTGCTTCCTTTGTCTTTATGTGGGTGATGGCAGGACCCTGATTTAGAGTGTGCACCCCATTTGTATGGGATCCCTTGATTACCTGCTATTTGTGCTTTTCTAGAGAAATACGTAAGAATGGTATTTCTTTTGTAACAAAAAGCTAATTATACTTTTAATAATGTTGCACTTGATTTTGTACAATAATCAAAACAAGTAAAAATCAATTTAAATGTCAAACAATGAGAGCAATTCGGGACAAAAAGAACCTTACAAATTTGAGAGTCACTCAGCCAATACTTATGAAAAGACAGCCTTAAGACACTGATAAATACTCAGATATTAATGATGCCAGTTTGAATTTACTTTTATCTGCAATTCAAAAGCAATTTCTCAGTTACTGAACAGTCCTTCTCACACATATCATTCCCCAAATCAACCTGAAAAGCACACTGCAGAATAAATTTCAAAAATTCAAAAACTCTGACAAGAGATAGTAAGAAACATGGACTTATCAGTATTTATCCAGGAAAGCAGTGGCTTTTTTATGTGGTCTTTAAACAGATTCACTTTTCCCACTTTTAGAGGAATCTGGCACACAATTCCCAGAGCAGGCCCTGGCCACTGAAGATCACAAAGGCTCTTTCTCAAAAGGTCACTCAGGCATGTAGAGAACATTTGCATAGCACAGCATGGGCTGAAATCAGAGCCTGAAGCATCTATTTCTCCACCTTGCACATTCTTCAAAGCAAACAAGCAAAAATATGCACCAGACAATGTGCAGTCAGTTTCTATTCTCCACACTCAGCACTGGAGACAGATAGGTTTCCACATGTTAGAGTGAGATATGGAACAAATGTCAAATTCAGGGCTCTGTGGCAACCTATCATTTTTCTGGCTTGCTTCATAAACATTATTTAAGTGAACAGAATCAAGAAACAGGCTTTACCAATTGATATTTCAAGAATTTAAGTCAGTTCTGATATAAGTGACAGATCAGTAACTGAGGATTTAAAAGGCTAGTCATCCAAAGGTTCTGGCCGGATACTCATCTTTGGCATCTTTCCATCACCCAAAATATTCATTCCTGACAGTCTCAAATATAATTCAGCCAACATTTATTATAGGTCAACCGGGGAGTGGGGCATAGAGGAGGAGGGATTCTATGTACAATGCAGATACAGGTTTATAGGTTTCCTGAAAGCAGAATGTTCTGATTTGAAAAGATTTGGTAGGTTATTCTGGGGGATCTGGGAACACGCAAATATAAACTAATAGTAATAGCATTTCCAGACTCCCCAAAATAACCTACCAACTCTTATCAAATAGAAACGTTCTGCTTTTAGAGAGCAGGAGAAAGCTGTACACAGAAATAGGAAAGGCACAATCCTTGCCCTAATGCAGCTTTCAAACTATGAAGAAAGGCAACATGCAATAACTGCAGTACAGAGAAGAATTCAAAAGTGCTATATAATAAACAGAATGGGAGAGGTCTGCAGGAAGAAAAAGAACAATTACAAATGGGGAAATGGAGGGCAAATTTCTAGGAAGAGCTTGCTCAGTAGGATACTGAAGGTATATTTGGACAACCTGAGAAGGGATTGTAGAATGAAGAAACAAGTAGACAAGGATATTGAAGGCCTCTCTTTCCCTCCCCAACCCCCTTAACATTCCTACAAGCAAGGTGTGGGTTTCTTTACCCATTTTGGAAATGCAAAAGATAGCAACAGAGGTGATTAAATGACTTGCTCAAGGTCCTACAGCTGAAAAGCAGCTGGATCTTTCCGTAAATCCCTTCCTGGGCTGGAAATCAAAAGAACATAATTGAAAAAAAATTAATTAATTAAAAGGGCATCCTGGTAGTGCAGGAGTTAAAAGTCTCAGCTCTGTCAAGCTTTCCCCAGCCACTGGAGCTGGAGTTCTATCCCAGCCAGGGAACTGACACACATGGCACAGCAGACCTCTCCTGTCAAGACCGCTGCTCCCCTCAGCAGTGTATTTCAGGAGATCGGCTAGTTCTGCTCCCTACTCGGTCTCTGGTGAATCTTCTCACCAGCCCCTGCCATGCCCCACCTCTAGAATGCATAAATAAATAAAAAGTCTTTAAAAAAAAAAAAAAAACCAGAATCTTATTTATTAAATGAATATATTGGTAGTGCTAACATAAAATTGAAGAGGTGGGATCCTACATTTCTGAATCATATAGTATTGTAAACCTATGTAACCTTAATGAAAATAAAATTATGAAAAAGAAAAGTCAAAAAAATTGTAAATAAATCTTAAAAAAAAAACACAGAATCTTAAACCCCGTACAGTCACCTACGAGCCTTATCCACCTAGTAGAGATTTATTTACAAATAAACAGGAACTCAGTCTAAGAACAGGGGTCATAATGGATTTGTAAAAATTCCCCTTGAGGCAAAATAGTGAGAACCTACTCACTAGTGTGATTAATGCGTGCTATCTTCTGTCTTAAGTGACCTTAAGAACTCCAATCTATGAATATCTGAATGGTTAAATAAGAAATGGAAGACCAAAGACAAGGAAAAAACAAACATCATCAATGTTACAGCTGTTATGCAACATCTGTCCACTATTAATTTATTTGTTCCTAGTGCTAAATCAAAACAAGATAACTTCTTAAGCAATGGTTTAATCAAAAAAAAAAAAAAAAAAAAAAAAAAAGATGATGCGCCTGAATCTGTTACATAGCAAAAGCCAAGGTTCTATTCTGGTACAAAGATGTAATAAAACCTCAAGTTTAATAATTCAGGAAAGCAATTATGGGAATCTATATAAGCCTATGTTTCTTAAAAAGCACCTCAAAGCCTCAAAATGAAACAGAAGTTACTATTAGTCACTTCCAGTAACAGTGACTAAACTGTCCCCCAAAATCAAACTGTCCACTAAAGAGCTCTAAGGAAAAACATTGTATTGATTAAATTTTACCTCTGAATCTCTTCTGTGGAAATGTTTATATACAGCAAGAAAACAAAACAAAAAAACAGGAAGATTGCTGGTTATCCAACAGCTGGACAATCTATCTCTGAATTGATGACTATTAGGGAAATCTAAGAAACAATGCAAATGAATGAAATAAAACATAATCCAAAAAATTTCCAGAATAGCTTCAACCTCTTCTTCTGAATTATTTTCCAGAGTTGCTAACAATTAGAAAATGATTCATGGGCCTCCCTGGTGGCACAAGGGGTTAAGCACAGCACTATGAAGTTGTCCGGAAGCCTCTGCAGCAGGAGTTCAAGTTCAATCCCCAGCCAGCCAGGAAGCAACCCACATAGCACAGCAGACTCTCCTGACTTGCTCACTGCTCCCCTCAGCAGTGATTTTCAGTCAGTCTGCCTGTTCTGTTCCCCACTCTGTCCCTGGTGAATCCTCTCACCTTCCTGTACCTCTGGCCTGTGCCCCAGTTCTTGTATGCATAAATAAATGAATCTTTAAAAAAAAAAAAGAAAATGATTCATTTACTTTTCATCCTCTCTCCCTTCTGGCACAGTCTCCAGTGGATGGTTTAATGAGAAGTTAAATGACCACAAGACAGGCAGCAGAAGGATTATCTTGAAATGGGCATCAAATGGGCGTGATTCACCTGATCAAGACAAAGAAAAATCTAGTATTTCAAAAATATTGTCAGAAATAGAGATTATAATGGTTACAATGAAAAAAAATCCCTTTAAAATGACTTTTCTTACTAAAGAAAAGTCTTAACAAACAGAACAATGAACATTCAAAGAAAGGTTCCTGATCCTGTAAAATCAGTTTACCTGAAAAGATCTGATCTTTGGTACAGATAAAATTCTTTTTTTTTTTTTAAAGATTTATTTATTTATTTATACAAGCGCTGGGTACAGTCAGAAGCGCGGGAGGGTGAGAGAATTCACCAGAGCCAGAGCAGGGAGCAGAGCAGGCAGAAGGACCGAAGTACACTGCTGAGGGGAGCAGCGGGCGGCAGGAGCGGTCTGCGCGCCATGTGGGACCCTCCTCCGGTGGCCTGGGAGCAGCCGGGGATTGAACCGGCGCCGGGAGGCTTCGGA